ACATACATACTTTATATGTCCGAACTCAGAATCAAATAGTCTTTGCAAAAATAACATGTTCACTGTGGTAGAACGTTATTTTTATTGGCTATTTTCTGCATTGATCAAACATTCTATCAGTAGCCTGATTTCAGATGTGTCCATGTAAACAGGATTCTTTGGGAAATCGTTCTTCTTGCAATGCATGTAAACGTTTTAAACAAACTATTATATTAATCTGACTATCCACAAAAATGACATTATTGTGTTCATGTAACCGTGCTCACTGGTCTGGACAGGAACCCGTTTGTTGGCGCAATATTAACGGTACAATTGTCTCAAGCTTGACTGGTTCTCTCAACAGGAATAGACTGATGAGTTTCAGAAGAAAGTTATTTGTTTCTGGCCATTTTGAGCCTGCAATCGAATCCCACAATTGCTGATGCTCCAGATACTCAACTAGTCTCAAGAAGGCCAGTTTTATTGCTTCTTTAATCAGCACTACAGTTTTCAGCTGTGCTAACATAATTGCAAAAGGGTTTTTTTCTAATGATCAATTAGCCTTTTAAAATGATAAACTTGGATTAGCAAACACAACGTGTCATTGGAACAAAGGACTGATGGTTGCTGATAATGGGCCTCTGTACACTGTATTTGATACACTGCCGATTTTGCAGGTTTTCCTACTTACAAAGCATGTAGAGGTCTGTAATTTTTTATCATAGGTACACTTCAACTGTGAGAGACGGAATCTAAAACAAAAATCCAGAAAATCACATTGTATGATTTTTAAGTAATTAATAACCTGTTAGTTTTTCTTTAAGAAGCCCTCCTGTTCTCCACTCATTACCTGTATTAACTGCACCTGTTTGAACTCGTTACCTGTATAAAAGACACCTGTCCACACACTCAATCAAACAGACTCCAACCTCTCCACAATGGCCAAGACCAGAGAGCTGTGTAAGGACATCAGGGATACAATTGTAGACCGGCACAAGGCTGGGATGGGCTACAGGACAATAGGCAAGCAGCTTGGTGAGAAGGCAACAACTGTTGGTGCAATTATTAGAAAATGGAAGAAGTTCAAGATGACGGTCAATCACCCTCGGTCTGGGGCTCCATGCAAGTCTCACCTCGTGGGGCATCAATGATCATGAGGAAGGTGAGGGATCAGCCCAGAACTACACGGCAGGACCTGGTCAATGACCTGAAGAGAGCTGGGACCACAGTCTCAAAGAAAACCATTAGTAACACACTACGCCGTCATGGATTAAAATCCTGCAGCGCACGCAAGGTCCCCCTGCTCAAGCCAGCGCATGTCCAGGCCCATCTGAAGTTTGCCAATGACCATCTGGATGATCCAGAGGAAGAATGGGAGAAGGTCATGTGGTCTGATGAGACAAAAATAGAGCTTTTTGGTCTAAACTCCACTCGCCGTGTTTGGAGGAAGAAGAAGGATGAGTAGAACCCCAAGAACACCATCCCAACCGTGAAGCATGGAGGTGGAAACATCATTCTTTGGGGATGCTTTTCTGCAAAGGGGACAGGAAGACTGCACCGTATTGAGGGGAGGATGGATGGGGCCATGTATCGCGAGATCTTGGCCAACAACCTCCTTCCCTCAGTAAGAGCATTGAAGATGGGTCGTGACTGGGTCTTCCAGCATGACAACGACCCGAAACACACAGCCAGGGCAACTAAGGAGTGGCTACGTAAGAAGCATCTCAAGGTCCTGGAGTGGCCTAGCCAGTCTCCAGACCTGAACCCAATAGAAAATATTTGGAGGGAGCTGAAAGTCCGTATTGCCCAGCGACAGCCCCGAAACCTGAAGGATCTGGAGAAGGTTTGTATGGAGGAGTGGGCCAAAATCCCTGCTGCAGTGTGTGCTAACCTGGTCAAGACCTACAGGAAACGTATGATCTCTGTAATTGCAAACAAAGGTTTCTGTACCAAATATTAAGTTCTGCTTTTCTGATGTATCAAATACTTATGTCATGCAATAGAATGCAAATTAATTACTTAAAAATCATACAATGTGAGTTTCTGGATTTTCCGTCTCTCACAGTTGATGTGTACCTATGATAAAAATTACAGACCTCTACATGCTTTCTAAGTAGGAAAACCTGCAAAATCGGCAGTGTATCAAATACTTGTTCTCCCCACTGTAGATATTCCATTAAAAAGCAGCCATTTCCAGCTACAATAGCCATTTACAACATTAACAATGTCTACACTGTATTTCTGATCAATTTGATGTTATTTTAATGGACAAAAAAATTGCTTTTCTTTTCGAAAACAAGGACATTTCTAAGTGTCCCCAAACTTTTGAATGGTAGTGTATATAGTTTAGATGTTTCCTGTCAAAAGTCTACAGCATGCTTGTTATTTTTGTTGTAAATATGTGTTACAGAAGTTTGCCGCCTTTAGCTTCTCCACTAATAAAAGCCCTTATATTGCAATGGGAACATCACGTCTACCTCCTCACTGCAACATCCATTGTGACGGCCTTCCTAACACCAAAAGACAAACATAACACCATGTGGACAGACCAATTCATGCCTTTGTTCTCAGTGAGTCAGAATTTCATAATCAATTTCAAATGTGGTGTATCACTTGAAATGGCATGCCCTTGTTTAAAGCTATCAACTCAATGAATGTCGGAGGGAGATATAACATTGTTGATTATCAAACAGGCCATAAATATTGACAGGGATATTTGTATACAGTCTTTTAAATAAATTAAACAAATTCACTCACATTTGCTGTCAAAACAACATAGTTATTGACATAGCTTTAGTGTATTTTGAACTGTGAAGGTTGAAATGAAGTCCAGTCATCCACATATACACGTATAACAAACTCCTTAAACAACAAATAATCAAGAAAATAACATAAATACTGCACTGGGATGAGTGTTCAGCAAGGGTCATTGATGAGCAACATGGCTACAAGAGTTGCACATACAATACAATCCCATTTTACATGAACAACTGGTAGACTTTGTAGAGCATTTTTATAAATAATTTATAAGCAAAGCCTCACATAAAGGGTGATACAAAAGGTCCTAACATATGGTGGTTTGCCAAACTGTTTTGCCACCCTTATGATACAGTTTCTCCATATTCAAGTGTGAATTGAGATAATGTCAGACACTTTTTTGCTAAATAGCTCTGAAGACAAAACCCATTTCCAATCAATGTTGCTCTGAAAACAGAACATTCTTGTTCAGTCATGCATTTCAGAGTCCTTGACAGTTTAATGTATCAACCAATAGGAGGCCAAGACGAAAGTGGGGGAATCATTGGATGAGCTGGCAGATTTGACAAGAGACAGTTCCCATTCTAGCCCAATAGGTGACATGATGGCAGTTATTTCCTCAGCAATTAGATAGGATTTCTGAAATAATAATGGCTATTATGTGCCATGATGATATAGGCACGATTTAACCAAGCTGCATTAGACAATGCCAATCATGTAGAAACCAATGTCAAGGTGTGCACCTTCTGCACTACGACAAGATAGCGTTAGCCCGCTGATCTAAAGCCTAGGCATTACCTCAGGGGGTTAACACATGTTTTCAGGTCTCAGGCAAGTAACCACCTCAAATCCAACCACACTATCTACATAGTTGAGCTGCTGCCCTGATCAGTGGAACAACAGTACACAAATGCCTCCCCTAATCATAAAACATACATACAAGTGTTTAATTATATTAGTAGCCTACATTTCATTGAGTGGGAATGCATGATTCTAGTTCAAATTCAAGTTTGATTAATACCCACATAGATGGATGAATTAACAAATGAATGAATTAACAAATCGATAGATGAATTAATTAATTAATTAACAATCTTCATCTTCCCACAAGGAAACCAACATTTTACAGGCAAAAAGGGAGTGTGTCCCCACAGGCATTTGATACATTTAACTTTGAGTAACATCTCTCTCTCATATAACATTTTTATAAGCTTGGCACATCTGGGTCTGAAATGGAGCACATAATTCTATAAACAGGACACAGACAGAAGCTCTAAACAGCACGATGTGTCCTTTCCAAGGTGTCTGCTGAGCATAAATACTTAATTTTTTTCACATCGCGATCACATTTTTTCTTTTATTATTTTCTTTTATTTAACCTTTATTTAACTCACATAATGCCCCCACATTTGCATGCTCATCTGCGCTTGGCCAATGCAGGCCGTTTGTATTTTGGTCGCAAGTGCCTGGAATTGGAATGTGTGTGTGTGTGTGTGTGTGTGTCTGTGTGTGTGTGTGTGTTAGAGAGAGAGAGCGCGAGAGAGAGAACTGACAATAGTGCTGGAAGTGCACTAGCAAATACAGCAATGGCTCTAGATGCAGCTATAAGTTGAATGATTTGAGATAATGGTAAATACGTATGGTAAACATTATGTTTAAGTACTATACAATCATTAGTGTCTATAATTTAAGGCTCTTGTCTTTATTGATAGGCATTTGTACGGAAGTGTATTGGGAAACTATTCTGCACCAAGTTGAATAGGTTTCAGGACCCCTACTTTGCCAGTAATCAGAATAGCAGAGGCGATCAATACTTCATAATGTGAAGAACAGATGGAAAGATAAAGAGCTGTTATCTATGTTTTGACAAATAGATAAGAGTGGGGACCCTGATTTAACATTCTTGCAAGTGACCATTTCTTCAAGCATTGATGTTACCTGCAACATTGTGAAAGCATGTGTTGTTACATTGCATTGGAAATCCCCCAATATTCCCATTATAATATTTATGCATGGGATTTTAGTGCATGCAATTGCAGACATGCTTTTTGCAATACCCCCAAAATCCCCAATCACGTATGTCTGAGTGTAACCTAACGTAGCAGGCGTAAAATAAACTAGTCTGAGTGCAATACTTGAGATGACTTGTAGCACAGCAGACTGCACTTTAGTCCTAGTTGTCATGGTATCCACCAAGCGGCGCTTGTGATCTCCAGATAAACCTCGGCGGTCTCTCCCTCGAGCTCAACTCTCCGTGCCGCTATTGCTGCAAATGTATATAGAAGATCGAGTTACAAGTACGCCCCATCTTTAAACTCAGTCTATGCGCAGTTAGCCGAAGGACAACAGGACAGGCAAGATACGTCCTGTGTCAGCAGTCAGACAAGGGTCAACGCCTATGTAAGTTTCCTTCGTTCCTAAAACACTAATTTCAATGCATTTAACTAGCTAAAAGTTAATAGGCTAGGCTAAGCGTTTTGGATACAAAGATAACGCTGAATCCCGAGTTCGGATTTGTGAGCAACATGTTGCTATTGTAAAGGCTACATTCTCAGCCGCTGGCGCGGTAAATGTTGCGACGGTATCTGTATTATTTTTCACAGCCTATAATATTATACTTTTATAGTTTTGTGGGAATGTTTCAAGGACTTTGGGTGGTTTCGATCGCTGTCACAACATTATCCAACTTTTTTGGCTTCTCTTATAACGTCGGAAACCTGTTGATTCAGTGTCCCGAAGAATAGATGGAGAAGAAGGAGGAGTTGAGAAAAGCGGATTGTATTCCTTGCCTTCTCAGTAGCCGAGACAAGCTTCAAAATAATACCATGCAAATTCATAAACAGACACTTATACAAACACAGTTCAGTTTGAAAAACATGGCTTGAGTGAGCGGTGAACGAAAACTATGCCATAGCGGGGTTATGATAATGAATAATCGGGCTATGGCTTGCAAAACCAACATCGAGAAACCGTTATCCATTCGCGCGTTTCGGCTAGGGCTAGGCTAACTGTTTGTCCAAACCTTGTGATAGGCCCTGCATAAAACGTGAAGTTGTTTTCATGTTGGTTTCAAATTCGTTTTTATATTGGGAGACAAAATTTGCTATTGTCTGTAAAAAGTGCATTGACATTTTCTGTTATGAAGCCAACTGATGATGCCATCCGAATAGGCTATTCAGCATATGCACTTGCACCTAATTATTAGGCTAATATGGGATTTAAACAAATGAAATAATGTGCCAACAACTAAGATCATCCTTCATACCGCTTCTTAATGGATGAATGCAATTAAATAAATAAAATATGTAGCGATGTGCTTGCATAGCCTATGGCTGGAGTGGGTATGACTACGTTACAACTACAGAGCATTTGGTGAGACGATTTACTCTAGTCCATAAATATGCTATATTAAACATCCAGGATTTGTACATTATTGTATCTTGATGAATAAAAAGTGTTCCAATATAAAATGAAACATCTGTCATTTTATTCACATTAGAACATTGACTTCACCTCCATCACTTAAACTTAAAATTTTAAAAGTTACCATTCCTGTGCTTGGTATGGTAACACAAATAACTTTTTTTTCTGAATGTGTTAATGAATACTTGATTTACGGTAACTGAGAAGTGATATGGCTATTGGTTAGGCTACTGAGCATAGAAGCAGAACATATTTATTTAATTAATGATCACACGATCAAAAACAACAAAACGATGACGTGACAGTCAATGGTCAAACACAAACCAACACGAACAAGAAACCACAATGAATGAATGCCTAACGGCTACCTAAGTATGACTCCCAATCAGAGACAACGAGCTACAGCCGTCTCTGATTGGGAGCCACCCTGGCCAACATAGATATACACCAACTAGAATCAACACACATGAAAACTCACACCCTGGCTCAACATACTAGAGTCCCCAGAGCCAGGGCGTGACAGTACCCCCCCCCCTAAAGGCGCGGACTCCGACCGCGCCAACCAAATACCACAGGGGAGGGACCGGGTGGGCACTCCGCCTTGGCGGCGGATCCGGCTCCGGGCATGATCCCCACTCGCTCTCTAACCCCCCAAAGTACCCCTGGTCCGGTCTGGCCCTGCTGACCGGAGCTGGACTGCACACTGGTGGAGCGGATTGCTCTAGCTCCGGCGTGAAGCAGCTGACCCGTGCTGAACCAGGCACTAGTGGAACAGGCACGGGCTGTGCCGGACTGACGACGCACACCACTGGCTTGGTGTGGGGAGCAGGAACGGCCCGAGCCGGGCTGACGAAACGCACCCCTGACTTGGTGCGGGGAGCAGGAGCGGGCCGAACCGGGCTGACGAAACGCACCACTGACTTGGTGCGGGGAGCAGGAACGGGCCGAGCCGGGCTGACGAAGCGCACCACTGACTTGGTGCGGGGAGCAGGAACGGGCCGCGCCGGGCTGACGAAGCGCACCACTGACTTGGTGCGGGGAGCAGGAACGGGCCGCGCCGGGCTGACGAAGCGCACCACTGACTTGGTGCGGGGAGCAGGAACGGGCCGAGCCGGGCTGACGAAGCGCACCACTGTCTTGGTGCGGGGAGCAGGAACGGGCCGAGCCGGGCTGACGAAGCGCACCACTGACTTGGTGCGGGGAGCAGGAACGGGCCGCGCCGGGCTGACGAAGCGCACCACTGACTTGGTGCGGGGAGCAGGAACGGGCCGAGCCGGGCTGACGACGCGCACCATTGGCCTGGTGCGGGGAGCAGGAACAGGCCGGACCGTACTGGGGACACACACCACTGGTCCTACGCAGGGATCTGGAATGAGCCGGACCGGACTGGTAACACACCCCAGTACCTCTCGCCGTGCCTCTACACCTTCCATCCCCTCTTCGACCAGTGGCCCCCGTAACCTGGCGGCCTCCTCTGCCAACCCGCTGGGCCGCTCTGCCGCGGTCTCCTGCTGGCCCGTCGTCCACGGCGTTAGCCCCCCCCTAAAAATTTCTGGGCGTCTCTCCTACCCTGTGGACCAGGTCTCCATGTCCCTCGCCAGCCTTTCGCCCTTCTGCTTCCATGTCAAGCCCTTCTCTTCCCCACCCGGCTTGACCCAGTCGAGGAGGCGAAGGAGATCTGCTAGAGATCTCCCTGGCGATGGCTCCTGGACACGCTGCTTGGTCCAGTCTTGGTGGTTTCTTCTGTCACACTCGTCGGGAACAGAGGAGGACCAAGGCGCAGCGTTGAATGCGAACATATTTATTTAATTAATGATCACACGATCAAAAACAACAAAACGATGACGTGACAGTCAATGGTCAAACACAAACCAACACGAACAAGAAACCACCAAGACTGGACCAAGCGGTGTGAGTTTTCATGTGTGTTGATTCTAGTTGGTGTATATCTATGTTGGCCAGGGTGGCTCCCAATCAGAGACGGCTGTAGCTCGTTGTCTCTGATTGGGAGTCATACTTAGGTAGCCGTTAGGCATTCATTCATTGTGGTTTCTTGTTCGTGTTGGTTTGTGTTTGACCATTGACTGTCACGTCATCGTTTTGTTGTTTTTGATCGTGTGATCATTAATTAAATAAATATATTCGCATTCAACGCTGCGCCTTGGTCCTCCTCTGTTCCCGACGAGCGTGACAACACCTGCCTGTTATAGACCTAACATGTATAGTAAATGACTTTGCTAAGGCCACACAGATGCCTGACGGAGACAAACATGTCACAAAGCCATTGCCAATGTCAATTAAGGCCCCATGAATGGCAATTGGCAGATGTTAAACCCTCAATAAGAGCATTAGTTCAAATACAAATACAAAGTCCCCAGCAAACTGCATGTGCCTAGTAAAGACCCTACTTATTGTTGTAGTATTGTAGCACTGGCATGAAACATTGTTCTGCAGTGCAGCAGCTCTCCACTGAAGAAGTTAAACAATTCTCCAGGTAAAAACGGGTACTTTATATAATGTCATCTGAATGTATGAAAATTCAGAGTGGGCTGCTGAGATATTTTAAAGGTCTACTGTCAGTCAGTATGAACACACTGGCCTGAGTGTACTTGGATATAGACATTGAATAAGTAAGTAGCTTATGTGATAATGATTGACAAAAGTAGCATTGCAACAACACTCGTCATGGTTTGATGTTGATGTCGTATTCATTAGGAGGGTGTGTAACACAGATATGTGTATTTTGCAGGCCTTGACTACACTCTCTGGTTGATGGGCAGCTATCACATCTACCGGGAATAAAATAGATGATTGAGACAATGGGTAAGTGATCAGTCAATTTGTGATATGTCAAAGAAAGAAAAGTGTTGATTGCTAATGTTGTCTGTTATGTGGAAGGTCTCACCAGATGAAAAGAGTGAGAGGTGGTAATTTTTCGATGAAGAAAGTGAATTTAATTGATGTTATTATGTATTTAGATAATATGTTACTCCCCATCTCCCCATCTCCCATCCAAACAGAAAGAATCCTGACTTGGCCTCTGTTATTGTAAAATCACCCTATGTCTCTAACAAACTCAGAGTCTGAGGAGAATCCTTGTTATTAATGCTCAAACACTCAGAAAACAACTACAAAATACCTCGAAAGGTACAAGCTGTTAACAGAGAAATGTTTCTGTCAAGACTCCCGTATTATTGGTTTGTTTACTGTCTCTGCTCAATGAGGTACATTTTTGTAGGATCTTAATTTGACCTATATTGTCACAGCAAAATAATCCTGCAGCAACAGAATTTGAACGTTTAGTCCATAATATTGCTTGATCAGTGGTTAGACTATTAGCTGGACAAAAGTAGGCTACATGAAAAGTGCAATACTGTTAATATAACCGTGTGTTAGTGTGGGTTTTCAGTCACGAAGCTCATCTGCATTTCCTGCGGTGCAGAAAAATTCTCAGCAACAGAAGAGTGATCAAATTAAGGTTCTACATCTGTAGGCTAGCTCTCAGAATGAACAGTGCTTTGGAACTTGTGCACACCCTATTACGTGTTAGTCACAGTCCGCGGGCCTCGGAAATTGTCCCGTCCTCCTGCACCAGAGGACGTCAAACCCATCCTCGGCTAACAAGCTGCTCTGGGGAGGCGAGAGAAGCAAGGTAGGCGAGTAGGCTTGAGTTCTTCGATTGTGGAGCTTATGCAGAGTCCAGCAAGCAAACTGGAGGGCCTTTTTTCTCTGGTTGCCCATTCCGGGCCTGTGAGTCTCTCTGCCAAGCCAAAGCTAACAGCGAATCATTGTTATTCTGAATGACAACATCAGTTTCTTTCCTTTTTATTTTATTTTTTATTCTGGTGCAGATCAAATTAAATGTTAAATCAAATAAATGTTTATTTGTCACGTGCTTCATAAACAACAGGTGTGGACTAACAGTAAAATGCTTACTTACAGGCCCTCCCCAACAGGGCAGAGTGAAAGAAAATAGATAAATAATATAAATAAAACACGTAATAATAAAAGTAATAATAGATACACAATGACTAACGATAACTTGACGATATACAACTGGTACTGTGCAGGGGTATGAGGACATTGATGTAGATATAGTGCATTCGGAAAGTATTCAGACCCCTTGGGTTTTTGCAAATTTTGTTACGTTACAGCCTTGATTAAATATTCACATAAATCTACACACAATAAACCATAATGACGAAGCAAAAACAGGTTTTTAGAAATTCTAACACATTTATTAAAAATAAAAAACAGAAAAAAACCTTATTTAAATAAGTATTCAGACCCTTTGCTATGAGACTCGAAATTGAGCTCAGGTGCATCCTGTTTTCATTGATCATCCTTGAGATGTTTCTACAACTTGATTGGAGTCCACCTGTGGTAAATTCAATTGATTGGACATGATTTGGAAAGGCACACACCTGTCTATATAAGGTCCCACAGTTGACAGTGCATGTCAGAGCAAAAACCAAGCCATGAGGTCGAAGGAATTGTCCGTAGAGCTCCGAGACAGGATTGTGTCGAGGCACAGATCTTGGGAAGGGTACCAAAACATTTCTGCAGCATTGAAGGTCCCCAAGAACACAGTGGCCTCCATCATTCTTAAATGGAAGAAGTTTGGAACCACCAAGTCTCTTCCTAGAGCTGGCCACCAGGCCAAACTGAGCAATCGGGGTAGAAGGGCCTTGGTCAGGGAGGTGACCAAGAACCCGATGGTCACTCTGACAGAGCTCCAGAGTTTCTTCTGTGAAGATGGGAGAACCTTCCAGAAGGACAACCATCTCTGCAGCACTCCACCAATCAGGCCTTTATGGTAGAGTGGCCAGACGGAAGCCACTCCTCAGTAAAAGGTACATGACAGCCCACTTGGAGTTTGCCAAACGGCACCTAAAGACTCTCAGACCATGAGAAACAAGATGCTCTGGTCTGATGAAACCAAGATTGAACTCTTTGGCCTGAATGCCAAGCGTCACGTCTGGAGGAAACCTGGCACCGTCCCTACGGAATTGTAAAGTGGTTATCCCACTGGCTATAGGGTGAACGCACCAATTTGCGAGTCGCTCTGGCTAAGAGCGTCTGCTAAATGACGTTAATGTGCCCTTGAGCAAGGCACTTAACCCTAATTGCTCCTGTAAGTCGCTCTGGATAAGAGCGTCTGCTAAATGACTAAAATGTAAATGTAAATGTAAAATGTGAAGAATGGTGGTGGCAGCGTCATGCTTTGGGGATGTTTTTCAGCGGCAGAGACTGGGAGATTAGTCAGGATCGAGGGAAAGATGAACGGAGCAAAGTACAGAGAGATCCTTGATGAAAACCTGCTCCAGAGTGCTCAGGATCGCAGACTGGGGTGAAGGTTCACCTTCCACCAGGACAACGACCCTAAGCACACAGCCAAGACAACGCAGGAGTGGCTTCGGGACAAGTCTTTGAGTGGCCCAGCCAGAGCCCGGACTTGAACCCGATCGAACATCTCTGGAGAGACCTGAAAATAGCTGTGCCGCGATGCTCCCCATCCAACCTGACAGAGCTTGAGAGGATCTGCAGAGAAGAATGGGAGAAACTCACCAAATACAGGTGTGCCAAGCTTGTAGCATCATACCCAAGAAGACCAAAGGTGCTTCAACAAAGTACTGAGTAAATGGTCTGAATACTTATGTAAATGTAATATTCCAGTTTTTTCTATTTTTATAAATTAGCCAAAATTTATAAAAACCTGTTTTTGCTTTGTCATTATGGGGTATTGTTTGTAGATTGATGAGGGGAGAAGAAACTAACAATTGAATCCATTTTAGAATAAGGCTGTAACATAACAAAATGAGGAAAAAGTCAAGGGGTCTGAACACTTCCCGAATGCACTGTATGTACATATAGCTAGGAATAAAGTCACAGATAATAAACAGTAGCAGCAGCGTATGTGATGAGTAAAGAAAGTTTGTGCAAAAAGGGTAAATGCAGATTGTCCAGGTAGCTATTTTGTTAACTATTTAACTAACTATTTAGTAGTCTTATGGCTTGGGTGTAGAAGCTGTTTAGGGTCCTGTTGGTTCCAGACTTGGTGTATCAGTACCGCTTGCCGTGCGGTAGCTGAGATAACAGTCTATGACTTGGGTGGCTGGAGTCTTTGACCATTTTTAGGGCCTTCCTCTGACACCGCCTGGTATAGAGGTCCTGGATGGCAGGGAGCTAGGCCCCAGTGATGTACTGGGCTGTACGCACTACCTTGCGGTTGGATGCCAAGTAGTTTCCATACCAAGCGGTAATGCAGCCAGTGCGGATGTTGCCTGTAATCCATGGCTTCTGGTTGGGATATGTACATACGGTCACTGTGGGGACGACATCGTTGATGCACTTATTAATGAAGCCGGTGACTGATGTGGTAAACTGCTCAAAGCCATCGGATGAGTCCCGGAACCTATTCCAATCTGTGCTAGTGAAACAGCTCTGTAGCTTAGCGTCTGCTTCCTTGGACCACTTCCATATTGAGCGTGTCACTGATACTTCCTGTTTGAGTGTTTGCTTGTAAGCAGGAATCAGGAAGATAGAGTTCTGGTCAGATTTGCCAAATGGAGGGCGAGGGAGAGTTTTGTATGCATCTCTGTGTTTGGAGTAAAGGTGATAAAGAGCAAAGCTCATAGCTACATGATTCTGATTTTCTAAGCTTTGTTGAGCAGTGGTCGACCTTAGCTAAGCCTCGGATGGTTGACGTGTGATTTACTGTCTCCTCTCTCTCTCTCTCTCTCTCTCTCTCTCTCTCTCTCTCTCTCTCTCTCTCTCTCTCTCTCTCTCTCCTTCCCAATGAATCATTGACATAGTGCTTCTCACATTAGCAAGCATGTTTGGTTCCGTGTGTCAACGGGAGCATGGGTTACTCAGATAAAGATAAAAACTTTAGAAGTCTGCCATAGACTTCACATTCTCAGCAAAACATCCTGAATAAACACTGACAACAAATTAGGAACACTTGGATTAAACTGACAGAATGTTTTAGAGAAGCTGAAGGGGGAATGTCAATAGCTATCCCCCTTCCACTTCTCTCCACATGGCTGCCGCCCCATGCTGTCACTGAACTATGTGATGCTTTGCAGATACCCAGCGTGCCTTGCAGGCAGTGGAGCGTCTCCAGGCCAAGCTGAAGGAGAGGGGGGAGGTCCCCACCGAGGAGAAGCTCAGCCTGCTCAAGTCGGTGCTCCAGAGCCCCCTGTTCCACCAGATTCTGGCCCTGCAGAAGTCTGTCCAGCTCCTCAAAGATCAGGTGGGTAAGACCAGGTCTCTCTTGGGGGTTGGGACATAGGATCACTAAGTTCACTAAGCAGGATCACTCAGGATCAGTTAAGTAACTTTGATGAACAATATAAAAAATAGATCTTGATTTTCTGGTTTATTGTCAGGAAACCTAAACTTGGGTTGTTGGGAGTGGCGAGTCAATTTAAATGTAAACTGGGCTGTTTTATCCAAGATGTGGATGTGGATATGGGTTAAAGGGTTCACCCAAATTACAAAATTACATATAACAGCAATCCGTGCTTGGGTTTTGTTTTTGTAATTTGGGTGAACTATCCCTTTAAGAATGAGGGTTAGGGTAGCCATCATTCTAACCCTTACAGGGGGTCATAAACATGACCCAATAAAGTAAACAGACTTAACCTCATCCCATCTCTTGTTTCAACTCCCTAACTGGTCTTTAAGTTTTTGTCTACATTGTAGATACATGTGTTAAAGGGATAGCGGCAGACCCAGCTTGTCTTTTTGCAAATATTTCACTGCCTATTCACTAGCTTGACCACAGGATTGACCAAGTATGGTCTTTGCTGCAACATTATTATTATGTCTAGGAGTTGGAATGAAGGAAATTACTACTACTTATTTCAGTCTTGATTTGGTCTGCGTTGAATCCAAATCAAATTATTCTCAGTTTTGGCTTGCCTCCAGACAGACATTTTTTATCTCTCTCAAATCATGTATTACTGTGGGCATATTGCAGTCAGAGTTCATCTGGGCACTTCTAATAAGGTTATATAAGCAGACGCTGCCAGCCAAAGCCAAAAGGCCTCCTTGACTTATCCAGGGCCCATGAGAAATCGAGATTTCTTTTGCCCAAGGAAGAGCTCTTGTTAGGTCACTGTGGATGTATGCGAATGGGCCAGGGTGAGTGCTTGAGACAGAGAGAGAAAGTATGTGAGCCATGCTGTGGGAGGAAAGATGCTGCTACAGCTTGTATTTTTTTCACCCCTGAAGGAATTCAGATTATAAAATCCTTGCAGACATTTTTTTGTGTGCCGGTGCTTTATAGTTCATTTCAGCAGTGTCACATTCTTATGCACAATGTAACAACCCAATCCACACAGTATATAATGGTTAACGGTGTGTGTGTGGCATGCTAATCTATTGCTCTTCCACCCTAATGTTTTCAAGCTAAAATAAATGTGCAATGGAGTCTATGTTTATAGATAAAGCGAATCAAAGAAAACAACATAAAAAAACTTTAAATCATTGAAGTTCAAATTAGTGGAACAGAGATTAAGCTGAGTGCTTGCGATACAAAGAGACTTGCCGGCTTCATTGGGCGAAACCAATTTGCAGGAAAGATGCAGTTACTGTTTTTGTTGTCAGTCGAACCCTAGACCCACATACAGTCTGTCTGTCTACTCCAGCCAGTAGGGCCTAGAACTGTTGGTGTCGCTATGGCGACAGGGCCTGCTCGCAAAAGAGAGAGGCCGCCGCCATGTGAAGTGGGGCAGAAACAATTTCTTAAATGTGCAAAAAGCAAACTGGAACTTTAATCCTCTTAGCTCGGCTGGCTAACATAGCTTGTGAATGGGACAGCAACTTGGGCGCTATGCTAATTTAGCCTAGACTGCATCGTTTTTCAGTTTATAAAGGCTAAAACCTCACCATATAGGTTACTGGCTGGATGATATGTCAGCTAGTGTGTCAACAATGCTTCTTCAATATGCTAAGCACACAATTACAAGTTCAAAAGGGCAAACGAAACCGAGGATGCTATATTTCAAACAAAGTGCTAATGAAGCGTTAGCTATACATTGCTAGTACTTTTGGATCACATTCAAACTAATCATAAACAAACATTAGCGCCAACAAGAAAATTATATTAAAAACATGGTTTTACACAGTGTCTAATTCATATAATCCATTAGTCACAGAAACACAGTGGTTGCAGCCCCTTTAATGAATAACATATCAAAGCATCCAGATGGCTATGATGTTTATATTGCATTGGAAGCAGAGTCATTGTTGGAACAGCTAAAAAGCTATTATCCCTGAAGGATTAGACTACTATAGATCCAGCTAATCATGGTTGGGTAACGAGCTGGCCCGCCTCCGACACTCCTAGGCTCCTAGACTTAGTTAGATTTAGGGAATTCACAAAATTAGCCTCTGTTTATTTTAACAGCAGTGATGGCAGGTTTTTGGTTAGAACTTGATTGGATCAGCTTGTGTAGCCTCATTTAGGATATTTTGGATATTAGTTCTACTCAATGCAATGCATGTAACAAAATGTGACAAGTGAACATGGTTTGTGTTGATATATCCAAAATAGAGCTGTAATTTTGTGGATTAAGTCTGTTTCTGGATAGATGTATAATTCCTACTGTCACTTGGTTACAGTGTGTGATAATCAATCAACTGCCACATATTACAGCCACAGCTTTTAGCAGCAGATGTTTTTCATACAGAATTTAGATAGTTTACAGAATTTACATAGTTCAAGATTGCCTATATCAAAATGTTGCGAAACACTGCGGTCTTGAATGCATCCCTTGTTGACTGTATTTCCATTCATGGTTTCAGGGTGTTGTCACATCAACATTTGGCGGTGACCTGAGTGAATGCTACACAACAACCCAGGCCAATGGTGGCCATCTTGCCTACCCAGAAGCCTCCGCTGGTACACAGATCAATGGGAAGCCGTCTCCTGAGGAGTTTGAGCACATCATTCGCTCCATGGCTCAGGTAAAGAAAACAACAAAATATGTTTTATTGTCACGTACACCATATAGGTGTGGTGAAATGTGTTGTTTTAGTAGTACAGTGCCCCTGGAGCAAATTAGGGTTAAGTGCCTTGCTCAAGAGCACATCGACAGATTTTTCACCTTTTCCGCTCTGGTATTCGAACCAGCGACTTTTCAGTTACTGCCCCAATGTTCTAATGCTGGGCATACACTAAACAATGTTTGTAACCAAATGCTTCCTGTAGTTGTTGATCAGTCTCTCATATCACTGTGGAGGAATTTTGGCCCACTCTTGCATGCAGAACTGCTTTAACTCAGCGACATTTGTGGGTTTTCAAGCAGGAACTACTAGTTTCAAGTCCTGCCACAACATCTCAATTGGAGTAGGCCTGGACTTTTACTAGGCCATTTCAAAACTTCAAGTTTGTTGCTTTTTAGCCATTTTCCTGTAGACTTGATTGTGTGTTTTGGATCATAATCAGATAATTATACAGGAGAATGTCAGGCCATCCGTCTGTGAGCTGAAGCTGTAGTGCAGCTGGGTCATACAGCAAGACAATGATCCAAAACACACAATCAAGTCTACGTGAAAATTGCAAAAAAGCAAAAAGTTGACGTTTTGGAATGGCCTAGTAAAAGTCCAGACCTAATCCCAATTGAGATGTTGTGGCAGGACTTGAAACGAGCAGATCATGCTTGAAAACCCACAAATGTTGCTGAGTTACAGCAGTTCTGCATGCAAGAGTGGGCCAAAATTCCTCCACAGCGGCGTGAGAGACTGATCAACAACTACAGGAAGTGTTTGGTTGGAGTCATTGCAGCTAAAGTGTAAGGGGGCAATTACTTTTTCACACAGGGGCATTGGGTGTTGTATAACTTTGTTCATGAAATAAATTAAATAAGTATGTAATTGTTGTGTTATTTGTTCACTCAGGTTCCCTTTATCTAATATTAGGTTTTGGTTGAAGATCTGATAATGTTCAGTATCAAAAATATGCAAAAGTTGAGAAAATTAGAAAGGGGGCAAATACTTTTTCACTAAGAGGCATATATTTAATTATATAGTTGATTGTGTTTGTTTCTAATCTGACTTTACTTTTGCACAAATGCTGGCGGTGGTACTATTTCTGTAGAAATATCTCCAGAAATATCTCTTGATAATCACAAGCAAGGCTGGTTACACTCACAGTCAAGCTAGCTAAATATTCAAAGACATTCCAATACAAGTGCGCTCTACACTACACACTCTTGAGTGACTTCAAATAGACTTCAGAGGAGTGCGTGTGTCTTTGATGCCGCTGTGAGAGGGGGTGAGGGGAGTGCTAATGCTGAGTGTGTGTGTGCGTGTGTTTGTGTGTGTGTGTGTCTAGGGGCGCTACGTGACACACATGGAGTTGGTGAAGCCGCTGTCTGGGGGCCTAGGCTTCAGCGTGGTTGGTCTGAGGAGTGAGAACCGCGGGGAGCTGGGCATCTTCGTCCAGGAGATCCAGCCCGGGAGCGTGGCCCACTGGTATGGGAAAGTTAACAAGGGTCATTCCCAGCTGATAAATCTGGTTGAAATGATGTAATTATAACCAGAAACCCAGTTTCGGCCCAGTTTTGGCCCAGTTTTGGCCACAAGGTCAACAGTTGATTATCTAATGTTTTAGTATCTCCCCAAAACCATAGTTGGTGACTACTGACCCACGTCTTTTTCGACCTGCATCTTTTTATACAGTGAGATTATTCGCAGTTCTAAGATTTACAGCCCATCAGATAATCAGCTGTTGAAAATCAACTATTTAAGAATGGACTTTGTTACACTGAAGCTGCATCCTAATGAACTATGTTTGACTAGGGTAACAACTGAAGACTATAATTGATATCATGTAGCAGAATACATTTGACCAGAATACATTTGACCATGACATGTTTCCCTCACAAAATACATGTTTTATCTCAATGCAGTTTACCAATATAAATAATAAACAAATCCATGAGAATCATCCTGTTCCCACAGTGATGGGAAGCTGAAGGAGACAGACCAGATCTTGGCCATAAACGGTCAGCCCCTGGACCAGACAGTGACCCACCAGCAGGCCATAGGCATCCTGCAGAGAGCGTCTGAGTGCGTGCAGCTTACTGTGGCCAGAGGACCCATCCCTCAGCTGGCCAGCCCCGTGGTGTCACGCACACCCTCCGCTGCCAGCACTCTGTCTGCCCACTCCAGCGCGGTGAGGAGAATGCACACAGAGGCTTGTGGAAGCGTACACATACATAAACACACTAGCACACACATACACACACAAACAATGAACGCACTCACATTCTGTACATATGCACACTAAGGTGTCCCACATTCCCGGGGGAGCTAGCGTCATGCATGACCTCTCTAGTGTGATGAGGAACACACAGAAACAAATGCACCCCTCATACACAGGCAGTTGTATCATGTTAGCTCACCGGGGAACACACACACACACACACACACCACAATATTCAAATTCCGTCATTGAGCACTTACTTAGACATGCTTTGGCGACTGCTACGTTTTTTTTTTAAACCTCCCATTTTGGGCTGGATGTGTCAATGTGTAGTTCATACATGCATAATCTATGAGCAGAATTACTGTCTTACCTCAATTGGCCACAAAATCCCTTGTTTGAAAGCGAGTGTCTTTCTGAAAGCTGTGCTGCGCCATTTTCCCTTCATTTTCCCCCATGTGGGCCAGCCCCTTAGCAATTCGAGTTCAATCAATGAGCTTCAGCCCCTCGCCATTTGAGTGACAGCTAGCAAGAGGCACATGTGGCACCCACAGCAGAGCGAGAGAGAGGGCAATGACGTGGTGCACATATATGACGTAGTACGCAATTTTTGGGGACCACTTTTGGGTCGTGAGCACTACTTTCAGAACTACTGGCTAAAAAGTATACAAATGTACTGGAGAATCTCTTTAAATTATTCATTTTAGCTCCTAGTAGAGCAAAGAGATTAAAGAGTGTATCTCCATTGAACCCTGTTCTATGTAGTTTTCTTTACATCCTTGCAGGTGGTTTCTGGAATGATGTTTCTTCATTTCCTCTTCATTAGTCCTTGTTGTTCTCCTTGCGGCCAACCTCTCTTTTACCCTGAGGGTTACACCCTATATATAGTATGAATCCTGCAATTAATGTTTTGAGGTCCATACAGTGCATTCGGAAAGTATTCAGACCTCTTGACTTTTTCAACATTTTGTTACATTACAGCCTTATCCTAAAATGTATTAAATTATTTTCCCTCATTAATCTACACACAATACCCCATAATGGCAAGGCAAAAACAGGTTTTTAGAAATGTTTGCAAATGTATTAAAAATAAAAAACAGAAATACCTTATTTACATAAGTATTCAGACTTTTTGCTATGAGACTCGAAATATAGCTCAGGTGCATACTGTTTCCATTGATCATCCTTGAGATGTTTCTACAACTTGATTGGAGTCCACCTGTGGTACATTCAATTGATTGGACATGATTTGGAAAGGCACACCTGTCTATATAAGATCCCACAGTTGACAGTGCATGTCAGAGCAAAAACCAAGTCATGAGGTTGAAGGAATTGTCCGTAGAGCTCCGAGACAGGATTGTGTTGAAGCACAGATCTGGAGAAGGGTACCAAAAAACTTCTGCAGCATTGAAGGTCCCCAAGAACACAGTGGCCTCCATCATTCTTAAATGAAGTTTGGAACCACCAAGACTCTTCCTAGAGCTGGCTGCCCGGCCAAACTGAGCAATTGGGGGAGAAGGGCCTTGGTCAGGGAGGTGACCAAGAACCCGATGGTCGATCTGACAGAGCTGCAGAGTTCCTCTGTGGAGATGGGAGAACCTTCCAGAAGGACAACCATCTCTGCAGCACTCCACCAATCAGGCCAGACGGAAGCCACTCCTCAGTAAAAGGCACGATTACCCGCTTGAAGTTTGCCAAGAGGCACCTAAAGGGCTCTGACCATGAGAAACAAGATTCTCTGATCTGATGTTACCAAGATTGAACTCTTTGGCCTGAATGCCAAGCGTCACATCTGGAGGAAACCTGGCACCATCCCTACGGTGAGGCATGGTGGTGGCAGCATCATGCTGTGGGGATGTTTTTTAGCGGCAGGGACTGGGAGACTAGTCAGGATCGAGAGAAAGATGAACGGAGCAAAGTACAGAGAGATCCTTGATAAAAACCTGCTCCAGAACGGACTGGGGCGAAGGTTCACCTTCCAACAGGACAACGACCCTAAGACAACGCAGCAGTGGCTTCGGAACAAGTCTCTGAATGTCCTTGAGTGGCCCAGCCAGAGCCCCGAACCCGATCTAACATCTCTGGAGAGACCTGAAAATAGCTGTGCAGCGACGCTCCCCATCCAACCTGACAGAGCTTGAGAGGATCTGCAGAGAAGAATGGGAGAAACTCCCCAAATACAGGTGTGCCAAGCTTGTAGCGTCATACCCAAGAAGACTAAAGGCTGTAATCGCTGCTAAAGGTGCTTCAACAATGTACTGAGTAAAGGGTCTGAATACTTATGTAAATGTATATTTCCGTTTGTCTTTTTTTTGTAAATTAGCAAAAATGTCTAAAAACCTGTTTTTGCTTTGTCATTATGGGGTATTGTGTGTAGATTGATGAGAAAAATAAACAATTTAATCCATTTTAGAATAAGGCTGTAACGGAACAAAGTGGAAAAAGTCAAGGGGTCTGAATACTTTCCAAATGCACTGTATCTGACCCTACTCTCTGTGTCCCTCCTTAGGCCCACTGGAATCATGTGGAGACCATAGAGCTGGTCAACGACGGGACAGGCCTGGGCTTTGGCATTGTGGGAGGAAAGAACACTGGTGTCATTGTCAAAACCATCCTGCCTGGAGGCATCGCTGATCAGGTGACTTCAATGTCATGGATGCACCACACATTGGTATTTAGAGGATGTGAAAGCAGGAAGCTTGGTTTTTGGAAGACATACCTACTAGTAATAACCAGTGACTTTTCTACTGTACTTTGTCCTTAGGATGGGCGTCTGCACAGTGGGGACCACATCCTCACGATTGGGGACACTGACCTTTATGGCATGGGCAGTGAACAGGTGGCTCAGGTACTGAGACTAGGCTCAGTCTTGTATTGAATTGACTACAGATAATAAGACTTGACAAAAACGTCTACATTTTATCCCCTTTGTCCTAATTTTTCTATAGTTCTTTACAGTATTGCCCTCAGGGACAAGTACACTGTTTACTGTGTAGTGCTGATCTCAGTTGTATTGTGATTGGTCCAGGTACTGAGGCAGTGTGGTAACAGAGTGAAGCTGGTCATCACCAGAGGCTCTCCAGAGGAGACCTCCACCGTCACAATGGCGTTGCCCACTGTCACAGAGCAACAGGTACCACATGCACATGTTCTCTGTACAGCAGACACAAGACAATTGTGTGTGGGTGGGTCGGTGGTTGCGTGGGTAGGGGAGGAAGGGGGGAGGATTGGAGTGGTCTTATTAGGTTAGTTGAAATAGTATATTTACATATGACATAGCTGTCCATTATAGAGGGCACATGGTTCTGTCTGTTTTGTACTCTATTTGTGACACGTGACATCATCTGTGACTCCAAAAGGCTTAGAACTGGAATTCGCTGTCCATTACATTTACATTTACGTCATTTAGCAGACACTCTTATCCAGAGCGACTTACAAATTGGTGCATTCACCTTATAGACAGTGGGATAACCACTTTACAATATGTTTTGTTTTCTTTCTTTGGGGTGGGGTAAGGGGGGGGTAGAAGGATTACTTTATCCTATCCCAGGTATTCCTTAAAGAGGTGGGGTTTCAAGTGTCTCCGGAAGGTGGTGAGTGACTCCGCTGTCCTGGCGTCGTGAGGGAGCTTGTTCCACCATTGGGGTGCCAGAGCAGCGAACAGTTTTGACTGGGCTGAGCGGGAACTGTGCTTCCGCAGAGGTAGGGGGGCCAGCAGGCCAGAGGTGGATGAACGCAATGCCCTCGTTTGGGTGTAGGGACTGATCAGAGCCTGAAGGTACGGAGGTGCCGTTCCCCTCACAGCTCCGTAGGCAAGCACCATGGTCTTGTAGCAGATGCGAGCTTCAACTGGAAGCCAGTGGAGTGTGCGGAGGAGCGGGGTGACGTGAGAGAACTTGGGAAGGTTGAACAACAGACGGGCTGCGGCATTCTGGATGAGTTGTAGGGGTTTAATGGCACAGGCAGGGAGCCCAGCCAACAGCGAGTTGCAGTAATCCAGACGGGAGATGACAAGTGCCTGGATTAGGACCTGTGCCGCTTCCTGTGTAAGGCAGGGTCGTACTCTCCGAATGTTGTAGAGCATGAACCTACAGGATCGGGTTACCGCCTTGATGTTAGCGGAGAACGACAGGGTGTTGTCCATGGTCACGCCAAGGCTCTTTGCACTCTGGGAGGAGGACACAACAGAGTTGTCAACCGTGATGGCGAGATCATGGAACGGGCAGTCCTTCCCCGGGAGGAAGTGCATGTCCGTCTTGCCGAGGTTCAGCTTGAGGTGGTGATCCGTCATCCACACTGATATGTCTGCCAGACATGCAGAGATGCGATTCGCCACCTGGTTATCAGAAGGGGGAAAGGAGAAGATTAGTTGTGTGTCGTCTGCGTAGCAATGATAGGAGAGGCCATGTGAGGATATGATAGAGCCAAGTGACTTGGTGTATAGCGAGAATAGGAGAGGGCCTAGAACTGAGCACTGGGGGACACCAGTGGTGAGAGCACGTGGTGTGGAGACAGATTCTCACCACGCCACTTGGTAGGAGATCGGTCAGGTAGGACGCAATCCAAGAGTGAGCCGCGCCGGAGATGCCCAACTCGGAGAGGGTGGAGAGGAGGATCTGATGGTTCACAGTATCAAAGGCAGCAGACAGGTCTAGAAGGACAAGAGCAGAGGAGAGAGAGTTAGCTTTAGCAGTGCGGAGAGCCTCCGTGACTCAGAGAAGAGCAGTCTCAGTTAAATGACCAGTCTTGAAACCTGACTGGTTTGGATCAAGAAGGTCATTCTGAGAGAGATAGCAAGAGAGTTGGCTAAAGACGGCACGCTCAAGAGTTTTGGAGAGAAAAGAAAGAAGGGATACTGGTCTGTAGTTGTTGACATCGGAGGGATCGAGTGTAGGTTTTTTGAGAAGGGGTGCAACTCTCGCTCTCTTGAAGACGGAAGGGACATAGCCAGCGGTCAAGGATGAGTTGATGAGCGAGGTGAGGTAAGGGAGAAGGTCACCGGAGATGGTCTGGAGAAGAGAGGAGGGGATAGGGTCAAGCGGGCAGGTTGTTCGGCGGCCGGCCGTCACAAGTCGCAAGATTTCATCTGGAGAGAGAGGAGAGAAAGAAGTCAAAGCATAGGGTAGGGCAGTGTGAGCAGGACCAGCAGTGTCATTTGACTTAACAAACGAGGATCGGATGTCGTCAACCTTCTTTTCAAAATGTTTGACGAAGTCATCCACAGAGAGGGAGGAGGGGGGGAGGGGTAGGAGGATTCAGCAGGGAGGAGAAGGTGGCAAAGAGCTTCCTAGAGTTAGAGGCAGATGCTTGGAATTTAGAGTGGATTATCACGCAGTATTAGCCTTTACCCTCATCAAATATTGGATAAGTTCCATCACTCACTGTCCCAAACTAGACAGTATATTCAGTCTCCATAACCTTGTTGCTTGATTCATCAAATAAATAACAACTCATCTGGCTGACAGTGATGATACATAGGTGAGGAAAGCTTGTTGGGAAATTGGTAACAGCGCGTGGAATTGGGGGGATTCGGCCCCCGCGACTCACCCCCTCTACTGTGCTCTCTGTATGCCATTTTGTAGAATGTGGAAGCTGACTCACTCTTCCTCTGTCTCTTCACAGGGCTATGAGGAAGAGGAGGCTGAATCGTTCGACGTCGAGCTGACCAAGAACGCCCAGGGTCTGGGAATCACTATCGCCGGCTATGTGGGGGACAAAAATTCCGGTAAGATTTGGCTGTGCTGTTTAATAGGCTTTTGTTTGATTTATTTTCTAATTGATTCACTCTGTTTGATGGAATGAAACCACTTGAGAAGGAATCGACTTTCAAGAGTCCCATAGAATGTCTGGAGCACTGAGCTATGTAGTGACACTGCCTCTCCTTGTGAAATGGTGAATGTTTCTGACTAGAACCATACACTGCAGATACGGTTTGTCAGTTAAAGGGTGTCTTTTGTACTGTATAAATGGTTCTGCTCGTTTTAGGAATGTTATTCACACATTGTCATTGTGTCTTTTTTTCAGAGCCCTCTGGTATTTTCGTGAAAAGTATAACTAAAGACAGTGCAGTAGAGCAAGATGGCCGCATCCATGTTGGGGACCAGATCATAGCCGTAAGTGTCTATTTTATATATTTTTACGGTCCTTTCTGACTCTATTGAACAGATAGAGGGAGTTCTGACTTTATTGAACAGATAGTTCTGACTTTATTCAACTGATAGAGTTCTGACTTTATTGAACAGATTAGATAGAGTTCTGACTTAATTGAACAGATAGAGTTCTGACTTTATTGAACAGATAGAGAGAGTTCTGACTTTATTGAACAGATAGTTTTGACTTTATTGAACAGATAGAGAGAGATACAGTAAGTTGACAGTGGGGAAAGATAGAGGTTGTGCAGTAGGCAGGATTCGAACCTATGCCAACACCGTTTATGTGTGCTGGAAGCAGCGGCCCTAACCACTAGACCAGGCCACAATCCTCAACTTTTTAAATAATATGATATGTACATTTCAATTCCATTACAAAGTATAAAATTAAGTGTGTAGGGGTATCTCTCATTTTGGATAATTTTGAGCTTTATCTATTTAGATCATGTGGGGAGAGTACGGCCCCACATTTGAATAATTTAGCTTCAGTGGAGAGCTATTATGTTCAGTGTTGTTTCTCGAATGGGATTGAGACACTGTTCCAATCATTACGCTAAATTGAGCAATTACAATGAATGCAAAACCCTTTCTGTGTTACAGCCTGATTTGAAGCATGAGCAAATCTTCCATCATGTTTTCTTGTTGTTGGGTGCGATCATTTCTGTGTGTCTGCCTGTGTGTATGGGTGTGTACGCACCTGTGTGCTTGCTTGCCTGTTTGTGTGTTGTCCTATTGACTTGGATAGATGGCTCATGTGGCATAAAGTCTGTTTTAGCATGGACAAAGCCCTCAATGACAATGACCATGCTGGCAGAGAAGCCAATATGGCAAAGATGCAAAGAAGAGCCCTCTGTCCAACACTATGATGTATCCATCATCTTTACATTAATGATCGCCCCCTGCAGGTGGACGGTATGAACATCCAGGGCTACACCAACCAGCAGGCCGTGGAGGTGCTGAGACACACGGGCCAGACGGTTCACCTGAAGCTGGTCAGAAGAGGCTTCCGTCCAGAGGACATCCCACCCGCTGTGGTGCCCAGTGTGATCGTACTTCCACCAACCCCAGGGGGCAGAGACCCCACACTGGAGAGAACAGATGTTGCGGACACCACCGCTCAAGGTACCAGTGGACAAAGGGCGTGGGCCGTGTTCATTGGGCACGGAATGGAAGAAAACGGACTGAAACGGGGAGGGACTACCTTAGGGCTGTCCTCGACTAAAATATATATTGGTCGACGAGAATTGTCTGTTCTTTCGACCAAACGATTGCTCGAAATTTTTAAACGTGTATATTTCCATATATAGACACACCCTATGTGTTTTAATAAAATCAACAATATGCACTGAGCTTGTCTGATGCTTTAAGCACACTGTTTGATGAAATAATTAAGACACACAAATGACTAGATTGTGCTAGGCAGGGCTCAGACTTGCTACACTGTGTGTGCTGTGTTATTAATTTTTTTACAGCTAGTGCCTGTGTGACTAGCACCTGTTGTCTCTCTCTCCTCCCTGCTGCAGCAACCACCACAGAACATCAACAGTGTTTATCGCGCAGTCCGTGTGGCTGAAGCTGCAACATAATTACAGCCATTTCTGACTGAAAAGTTATTTTACCGAAATCCTTCATTTCCTTCATTCTCTCAACCATTACTCTCTTTACATGACACATGTAAGCATCGCATGCACTTGACCAATGGGGCCTGACCTATGCCTATCATAATCGCATCAATAAATTGATAATAACAAACTCTGAACACCGTAACACGTGACAGCAAAATGTATGTGGAGGACGTGAAAAAGAAACTCGAAACTGAGGAATGTTTACTGGTTGCTCAGGAGGGAAAGGGGAAGTCAGATGTGTGGAAGAAATTTGACTTAGTTGTGGAAACTACAGGAGATCAAGAAAAAGAGGGAACGTAAGGAGCAAGCGCTGTGTGGATATTATGTGTGCCAAACAGGCGCTGTTAGAATACAATATAGTTTTTTTCTGACCATCTGGAACAGTGTAAACAACACTAAATAAATTATAAGCCTAACTTTTTTGTAAAGCCTTTATTACAGCAAAGAGTAAAAACAGTCACATGCATTCATGAATGCAATTGTCAACATGGAATGGTTTAGTTATTGTTTAGGCTAATTATTCAAGGCTCCCTTTGTTATGTCATTTTAAAACTAATGCTGTGTGATGACATGAACAAAAGAATGATTGATTGGTACAGTAGCCTATATATTGACATATAGGCCTAAGTAAGTTACGGTATTAAGACAGCTAAACAGGATGCGTTCTTAGGCCTACAGCTCGATGGTGGTTATACAAGGCTGCTATACTAAGCCTACTAATGATAATGACATGACTTATTATTATAATGATGATCACAATAATAATTGTATTAATAACAATAAGAAGGAGATGAAGAAAAAGAAAAAGAAGCAAGAGCTCTGTGCGTATTATGTGTGACAAACAGGTGCTGTTAGATTACAATATTATACTTTTTCAGACTATTTGGAGCAGTGTAAACAACACTAAATAAATAAGTGATACAAGAGAGGCTTTTCTAATGAAAAAAAGTCTAAAGCCTTTATTACAGCACAGCAAAGATTAAAAACAGCATAATTTGTGAAATTGCTTTATCCGACATGTTGTGGTTGCGTGAGGCTTGGAGCTCACGGAATAAGTAGGCTATTAACCAAACACTCAAACAGGCTACAGAAGCAGGATCTGTCTTATTCCTTATTGTGCTCAACACCAATATGCTGGTTAACTTTTCTATTATGCACATAGCAACATGGTCTAGGAAAAGGCGCCAATTCAACAGCGCACTGATGTTTCAGAACCGTGGACAGCGACCGCTGTCCAACGCCGGAGAAAGCACATTTGTTATAAAATAATATTATTTGTATTAATGTTGCATCATTCTTCTTACATAATATAACCAAATACAATTTCAGTAGCACATGTCTTAGAGTGATGGACTGTGCCGTCCGCACGGCCTCCGCAATGGATTAGTCCTCTTAGACAGGCGCGAATCAGACAGGTGTCTTGTGCACCATGAAGAAAACTAGCATTTGCGACTGACTGCTCGACTAAAGAAATCTAAAGAAAACAGCCTATCGACCAAACAATTGACCAGTCGACTGAATGGGATCAGCCCTAGACTACCTGGATTTGTCCAATAAAATAATTTCTGTTGCAAAGTGATTTAAAACGTTTTCCGTGGCGTGCCCTAATGAACATGACCATGGCAACTGCATCTTTGATTAACAGTCACAAATACCTCCTATAACAGTAGTCTATAGTCAAGCAAAACACAGTGCATATATTTATTCCATATACATTTACATTTTTGTCATTTAGCAGACGCTCTTATCCAGAGCGACTTACAGGAGCAATTAGGGTTAAATGCCTTGCTCAAGGGCACAGGAGTTCGTACTCTAACATTATCCTTCATTCATACATGATTGAAATGGACCTATCCCCTAGACAAAATCCAGATTTACCTGATTTCTATGTAGTCCTGGTGCCATATGCATCAAGTGTCTCAGAGTGCTGATTTAGGATCAGTTTTGCGATGATTAAGGTTACATGGACAGGGAAGACCAGATCCTAGACCAGTACTCATATATTCTGAGAAGCTTGACACATACAACCCCTGATCACCTCCCTGGTGACACTGCAGGGCTGTGCCCACTTGACGACAGTCCACATACCACAACAGTGGCCTACTTTAACGGCCTCCATCTATGTTAGGATGGGAACGGGACTTGATTGGGGTGGCCCCTTCTACTTAAACCCTCTCACCACAACCACAGCTCCAGATTTAGAAGGCAGCGCCCTCCGCCCTGCTTTGGAAACCCTGAACTCATTTAGCCTGTAATTGGGCCAGCCTCTTAAGAACCCTAAGCGTAGGAAAATGCATGACAACACATACTCACACGTGCACAGACACACACGCTTGCGCAGACTCACACACACTGCCAATAATAACACAACCCGTGACAACATAGCCAGCATGTTCGAAGCTGGAACCAGGAGGAACTAAAGCAGACTTCTACACATGTTTCTGCGATGTGTGTGTGTGTGTGTGTTTGTGTATATTAACCATACAAGACACAATGCACAACCCATGACATCATAGCCATCATGTTTCAGGCTGGGAGCAAGATAACACACTTGTAGAGCTCTTGGTTAAGTTGTGTGTATGTATTTATTGACGTGTGTGTATTGTGTACTTTGGTGCAGGTGAGAAACAGGACCAGGCATTGAGTGAGGAATCGGATGTCACCACTGTGAAGGATCAGTTAACTAAGAACACCAGAGATGGTAAGTCAATCCGCCCCCCTGTTATCTGGGATCCCTTACTAAGTATAGTGGTAGAGATAATGGATGGCAATCTGTTTTAAAATATGCTACTGTCGCAAGGACTGATTTTAGGCTACTGTCCATTTGAAGAGATTTTCTGTAGCCCTTTATTTGGCTAGTCCATCTGTAGATGCTCAACAAACTATCAATGAATGTCTATAGATGTTTTCTTTGTTGTAATTCAACAGAATTGACATGTTTTTGATCGTCTGTTGAGAGTTTGTTGAGCATCTACAGATGGACTATCCAATGAAGTGTTGCCACACATTTCAAATATATTGTGCATGTGGAGCATAAGGGTCTGTACATTGTTTTTATTACATAAAAGGGTAGATGAAAGATGCCTTTGAAGTTATTCTTAAAGTACTCTTTCAAGTAGTGTTTTTGGAGTTGTCTAACTGTAGCCTACCGCTTGCTGTGAGTCATTTAGTCTGAATCAGATGGGACGTAGCAGTTGGTTGAATGTACTGTAGGTTTCATAGTTACGTTTTAATTGGGTTAGTATTATATTTCTGTGTTTTTAAGGAGCCAAGCTAACATTGTGAGTCATTTAGTTGTAATCAGGTGGGACACGGCAGTTGGCTGAATGTAATTTAAACTTAATATTCTATAAGTCTATATTATATTGATGTTTTTAAGAAGCAACGCTAACAGAGGATGAAGAGTTGGAACTGATGAAGAAGTGGCAGGAGACTCTCGGCCCCAGCCACAAAGTAGCGGTTAGTAAACAGAAGAAACATTCACCCAAGTCCAGTCTGTCTCTACTTAATGATACTTGGTTCTATTTTTTCCTGTTTTATACACATTCTCTGGTTGCAGAATAAAAACACTGTTGTATTTGTTGTCAATGGAAAATGTCAAAAACATTGGTCATAAAAATAACTCACCAACCGTATTGCCACACTATGTAAATGTAATACTGACTGTGAAAGGAAAATGGAATAAAATGTGTGAAAGCTTTTTATTTTATTATGCCAACTGAGTTGTATCCACCTGTTGTGCCAGGTTGCCCAGGTGGAGAAGTTCAGTGAGAGCAGTGGTCTGGGCATCAGTCTGGAGGCCAACAATGGGCACCACTACATCCGCTCTGTCTTGCCCGAGGGGCCAGTGGGCCGCTGTGGGAAACTCATCAGTGGGGACGAACTGCTCGAGGTAAGGGACACCGCCAATAGCGTATTCATTACGGAAACCGTTTACCGTTTAAGAACAAAAACGGAAGCAAACAGAGCAGAACAAGAGTTTCTATTGGACAAATTCAGGTAGGTCCCTCCTCGTTTTGTTCCGTTTGCTTCCGTTTAAGAAACGTTTAGCAACAGAATCGGCGTAATTAATACGCCCCCGGTGAACAAGAGTTAGCCTGGAACTTACTTTATGCACTAGTTCTTCCATCATTGATATCTAATTGGAAGGTGCCTTAATTCATTGGATGTGTTACAAATGTGTTTTCACTACGCAATGTATTGCTGAAAACTAAAAACCTAGCCATTTTGTTCTTGCAACAAATGACCCTGAAATATTGCTAGGAATATTTGGGCACAGTGTCTCCTCTTCCACATCTTCATCAAAAACATTTAGGCCGGGATTAAATCCGATTGCGGGTTATAGGAATTGTGGGTTTTAAATGCAATTTCCGATTGAGACGGAATTTGCAGCGTTTACCGTGAATGGGATCTCCGCAAACACGGGAACATTGCCTTTAAAAACCGCAATGCTTATAACCTGCGATCGGATTGAATCCCAGCCTGACACAATATGAGTGTTGACCATTGGATGTGTGGGTCCACCCCTCTCCATCCAGGTCAATGGAATATCCCTGATTGGTGAGACCCACAAGGAAGTGGTGAACATTCTGAAGGAGCTGCCTGTCTGTGTCTACATGGTCTGCTGTAGGCCCGCCCCTCTCCTTCAGAGTGACAGGGATTCTGGCCAAACAGGGTTGGATGAATTTTCCACTGAACCTAAAATGAAGGTACTTTCCTACATGTCCATGTACAGTATATGCTATTGACATCACCATTATTACATCATTTTGAAACGGTTAACGTTCCAGTAACTATTATAGTCATAGCATAGCATAGTCATTACTTACCAGCCTCCACATAATGTAGTCTAACATGCATGGTTGGGGTAAATTCATTTTTCAACCATAAAATTCAGTAATTTCAGCAAATGAATAAAAAACTGAATGGGAAGCCAGAAAGCCCTTCACAAAATGGTGGCTGCTGGACATACAGTAGCTCACAGTAAACAGTGTTTCCTCCACCCCTTGATACTGAATGGCTAATATGATTGGGAATCAACGTCATTAAGTCCTCCTACTTCACTCATCCACCCTCATTATTTTAACACAGTCTGTCCAATGCTCTGCCGGGCCTCCAGATTGCCAACGATAAAGGATTAAGATTTAGGATTAGGAAGGACTCTGACTGTTTATTAACACCAATCCATCTAAAGTAATACCTCAGGTACTTTGACAATGCATGAGATACAAGAGATAGTAGCCAGGGAGCTACACAAAACTAACCTTCAAAGGAATCCTGCTTTCAGATGATTTTAGAGGGATTTCTCCTCAGCTCTTCAGCTGCATCAGTTCAGGTAAAAAACACAACATACAGCACTTCTACTGCCTAGCATCCAACGATTCCCTTTGATGTGCTGCCAAAAAACCTACAAAATGAGACTAGCGGAGAACCAGGAGCCTATGGGCTCGGAGTGAGTCAGGAATGCGTGCGCAGGGATGATATCAAGGGTATATCTCTGTAGTTACAGGGAGACCTCAACAGTTTCCTGGTTCCCGGAGGTTCCGAGGGGGCGGCAACGAGGGAAAATGTGACGGAGGAGACGCTGGGCGCTCCTTTGGCCATGTGGGAGACGGAAATACAGGACATCGAGCTGGAGAAGGGAGAGAGTGGACTGGGATTCAGCATCTTGGACTACCAGGTGGGAATTCTGAATGGGAATTCTGGGAATGATTGTCATAGGAATGATACTTGCTAGCAGGCTTGGGGAGTAACGACTTCCATGTAAAAAAAAACAAAAAAAACTGTAACTGTAATCCGTTACATTACCAGCGAAAAATTGTAATCAGATAACAGATACTTTTGAAAAAATTGATGATTACTCTCATTTAGCTACTTGCACCTTATAGATTGTGGTTGTTGTGGATGGCTGTTCACAAATGTAAGCTATATGAGTATTTTAACCCAATAATGGTTGAATTGAAGAAGTTTAAGCTGCCTACCAAGCATTGTTTTTGCGACCAGTGGACAGACAGTGAAAAATGCGCTCTTGTAACAGCTGCATAGTGCAGATCCCATCCTTTGGAATGAAAGTTTGAAGGAGTTGCTACCAACTCCTCCATGGTATTGCGTTCCATACTGTGGGGCTTTTATTGCTAAATCTAATTTGTGCTGATTGAAAAACAAATGTCCATAGGCCTAATAGACACATCCTCAAACTTGCACCCTTTTGATAGACTTAAACAGCTGCAAATGATCAAGTAATCAAAGTGTCACCAACAAAAAAACGTAAACAATAGGCCTATAGCAAATGCAGCCAATGGCATACAAATAGCACTTTTCAGTAGTGCTCAAAGCATGCTATTCTATGAGAGCAGCATTTCTCGAAGCAATGAGCCCAATCAGTCCTCCATGACAACAAAATCATAAACAAAAGACTAGGCTAATAAGTCTGTAGTTTGGTGTTATGCTCAGGTAAAACAATTGGGCTAATCTAAACTTAGCAAAAAAATAAACATCCTCTCACTGTCAGCTGCGTTTATTTTCAGCAAACTTAACGTGTAAATATTTGTATGAACATAACAAGATTCAACAGCTAAGACATAAACTAAACAAGTTCCACAGACATGTAACTAACAGAAATGGAATGATGTGTCCCTGAACAAAGGGGGGGGTCAAAATCAGAAGTAACAGTCGGTATCTGGTGTGGCCACCAGCTGCATTAAGTACTGCAGTGCATCTCCTCCTCATGGACTGCACCAGATTTGCCAGTTCTTGCTGTGAGATGTTACCCCACTCTTCCACCATTAATTGTAATGAATGGAAATATGACCGACATTTTTTAATTTTACCCCCTTTTTCTCCCCAATTTCGATCTTGTCTCATCACTGCAACTCTACAACGGGCTCGGGAGGCGAAAGTCGAGTCATGCATTCTCCGAAACATGACCCGCCTAACCGCTTCTTAACACCCGCTCGCTTAACCCGGATGCCAGCCGCACCAATGTGTCGGAGGAAACACCGTTCACCTGACGACTGAGGTCAGCCTGCAGGTGCCTGGCCCGCCACAAGGAGTCGCTAGAGCGCGATGAGCCAAGTAAAGCCCCCCCGGCCAAACCCTCCCCTAACCCGGACGACGCTGGGCCAATTGTGCGCCGCCCTATGGGACTCCCGATCACGGCCGGTTGTGATACAGCCCGGGATCGAACCCGGGTCTGTAGTGACGCCCCTAGCAATGTGATGCAGTGCCTTAGACCGCTGCACTACTCGGGATGCCCGACTTTGGTTTTTAATGTAAAGATATAGCCTAATCGTATTATTATATGTAGTAAAAAAAGATGGGTTAGAAGAAAACCATCCCATAAAGTAAAATGCAACAGCCGTTTATGGCAAGCTATGTAAACTCTATCCTGCAATAGATGTCATTCAATTGGTATTGTTCATTTTTGTCTTCTTCAAATGCCTCTTAAGTAATCCGATTACGTTACTGAGTTTGGGTAATCCCAAAGTTACGTTACTGATCACAATTTTGGACTGGTAACTAGTAACTGTAACTGATTACATTTAGAAAGTAACCTACCGAACCCTGCTTGCTTGTCAAGTGTGATTTTTCCCAAATTATAGAATTTACTTATTTACTTATTCACTTCAATTAGTTGTCATTGTAGGTCGTTCCTGTCTTCTTACTTTGGGAGGTCATTTGAGCTTTTGGACCGTTGCCCTCTGGGAAATTAAGTTAAACAAATAGCATAATTGACTCATTACGCTGTAATGTGCTGTATTTTTTAAACTCAATTGCTTACTCTTAGTTTTGAACACCTGATATACAGAACATTCAGAATAAACAAATCCTCCAACTGAAAGTACATAATACATTTGAGTCCTTTTTGTATAAGATTATCTGTCGAGTGCGTCCATTGACTTCACTGACACGGATCTTGTAATAGGACCCAATGGATCCGGCCAAGACGGTGATCGTGATTCGCTCTCTGGTGCCCGAAGGAGTGGCCGAACAGGATGGCAGGCTTTTGCCAGGCGACCGGCTCATGTTCGTCAACAGCACCAACCTGGACAACGCCAGTCTGGAGGAAGCCGTCCAGGCACTGAAGGGGGCCAACATCGGCAAGGTTCACATTGGGGTGGCCAAGCCACTGCCTGTAAGGAAACCCTATTGTAATGTTTGTCCTACAGAGAGGCAGGTGTGTGTGTATTTGTGTGTGTTTGTGTGTGTGTGTGTGTGCAGGGAGGGGGGGGGTGGGTGTCGGAGTGCGATGTGTTCTGTGTGCCCATGTGTGTGTGTGTTCTGTGTGTGTGTTATATGTATGTGAGCGTTTGTGTGTGTGTGCGTTTTCTCTCCGGTCTGTGGACATCCAATAATGAGGGCTCATCTTACAGATGGCTTGAATATTTCATGCTGAGAAGGCAGTGGAGTTAGGCTGCATGCTGACTCAACTCCAATCTCCCTGACAACAGCATAAGGCAGCACAAACATTCCTGCCCTTTGTGTCATATTGCTTTATTATTGCAGTTTGAGGCAGCTGTCAAAAAAAGGGGTTGTCCACAAACACATTCACCACCTGAGGGATTTCTAGTCAGTTTTCTGTGAAAATTGGCCGCATTCTTTCAGCTTTAAAGTTATATTTCTCTCTCTTGGGCTTGCCATTATGATGAGAACATACAGTAAGTTCTGGTTCTGGGATGTCAAGGTTATTGTAGGTCAGTTGGATTACATTGTCTTTGGGAAGCCTCTGTGGAGTTATCAAGCTCTCCTGCAGCTCCTGGAATGTAGGGGGGGGGGGGGTTGTTGTATTGCTTCTCAAAATGGAGTTTGATCCTCCAATACCTTCTCCAATTTCTCCCTCTCTCTGGGCTCGTACTAGACAAAATCAAGATCAAAAGGTCCTTTTAAAGCAAAGCTGTGGCAACACCTTTGGAAATCGAATAGCCAAGTATAACTTTTTACCTTAGTCTGAGATTCAGCCCGTGATTCCTAACTACAGACAAAACCATGGAAACCAAAATAAACCATTAAAACTCACATACCTTTTGCTACTAACAACCTCAATTAGATTTCTTAACAACCCAACTACAATCATATTTGACTTGAAATTTGAAACCTATAGACAATGATTGGAATTTCCTTCCGGATATTTCCCATTTACTGCCCTGTCTCCACAGCCGTACATTGAAGAGGGCAGTCCGTCGTCATCCTCAGGAATCCATTTCTTTTTTTTTCTTCAACACTCTGCGGGTTAAAGTGAGCGAATGAGGAGGGCCACCTTTTCCAGGCAGAGCCTGCATTGGTTAGTCGTAGTTGGGGACAAGTACAAAATATGTACTGTTGTCACAACTTCCGCAGAGGCTGCCTCCCCTCCTTGTTCGGGGCAGGCTTCGGCGTTCGTCGTCACCGGCTTACTAGCCACTGCCGCTCCATTATTCATTATTCCATTTGTCTTGTCTTGTCAATCACACACACCTGGTTCTTATCCCCTCATTAGTCCGTGTATACGTGTTCCCTCTGCCCCCCTTGTCCTTGTGGGTGATTGTTTATTTGTGAGAGTAGTGTAGCTCGGTGGAGCTACTCGTACCTTGTTATTGCCGGGGTAGATATTTCCCCTGTGCCTGTTATTGTTGGAGCTACTGTTCCTTGTATTACCAGGGTAGATTTTCCCCTGTGCCTGTTTCGTTTGTCGCTATCCAGCGCTATTTGTGTACAACGGAATAAACTCTGCGTTCGGTGATTCCCCTCCTGCGCCTGACTCCTTCTATCACACTCATCACAACTGTATTCACAAAAAAGTACAAAAAGTACAAAAAATGTATGCGCTCACTACTGTAAATCGTTCTGGATTAGAGCGTCTGCTAAATGTCTAAAATGTAAATGTAAATCAACCAATGAAATTGAGGGACAAGAAAAACAACCAATCAAAATTAAAGACACAAATTTAATGCGTAACTCTACAGTATCTAATCAAAATTGAGCCACAAAAAACAAGACAAACATTTTATGGAGTATCACTCGACTAAACACTCTGAGAAACAATGGAAAAGAGCAACAATGTCCAATATCGGAGTTAGAATATCCTTTAGAAATAGCTCTCATGGCACTAACACAGCTATCTGTGAATGGATAGCTCATCCATGGCATAGAGAGATATATTCACCATCTAATTCACTACATTCACATTCTTTGGTGCAGATTGACTCCAATGAGGTAGACCTGACCGATGAGAGGGCATTGGAGCATCGCTTCTCTGGTGAGGAGGATGACACCTTCCAGGCATCCATGATCGCCCTTCACGGCAGCACCTGCATCGCCGACCTGGACTACCAGACTACCTTGCAGTCCTCCACACCCAAGGTAGGCCAACAAATGTGCACTGTGGCTAGCTGAGTCCATTTTAAAGCCATTACAGTCAGCAATTATAGAAAGCTTGTTACAATGCAAAAAAAAAGTACTAATTTGTTTGAATTTCATTGAAGCAAGCTGCTGCCCTTTTCACTAAGAAAACTCCTCACGTAATCAAAATAAGTTGCTTATTTTACCATACGAGGTTGACATTAGAAGTGCTGTGCTATAATTGTTTGACTTCTTCAAACTGTCAGCTGTATTGAAGTGATAAAATGTTTATTTAGTTTTTAACCCCTTCTTTGTATGTATTTTGCTTGTTTTTGTCTCACATTTTGCACAAGCTTATAGATCATTGTCACTCCCCAGAGTCCTACCCCCAGAGTCCTTATGTATTTCTGCTTGCTGCAGTTGTTCCACAGTTTCCTAATCCTAGGGATTTCTTTTTCCAAGTTCTATTGTGCCATCTCAGATGCTTAAGGAATCCCTGAAGAGATTCATCGCCGTACAGTCCGGGTCTCGTTAATTATATCTAGGGAGATAATAAAGAGATATTTGGTGCATCGTGCAGGATAATCTGTACTGTAATCATCGCTATTCCCCGTCAGCTGCTGATGGCTTTTCAATGGCTCATTAGGAGTGCAGAACCGCGACAGAGGTAGAAACTAACGAGGTGTAACCTCCATTTCGACTCGTCATTTTTTCTTCTTCTTCTACATAGCGGAGTGCTCGCCTGGACTTGTTGACTGAGCATCCCTTCGTAACGTTGTCCGGCCTTGCGGACGACACCGAACCCTTCTCCCCGGAGGAGAAGCCCATCGCTTTCCCCCCAACCAGGAGTATCGGAGGTCACGCCCTAGCGATAGACAACAACGCACTAACTAGCTCCGATCAGTACCTGGCGCATCACTTAACACAAATGGAGCCGTTGGAGATGTCGAACTCCTACAGTCCGTACACTGACCCTGAGCCCGGTTTGAATGATATGGGGGAGCCGGTGCAGTCTCTCCATTTTCAGGTGGAGCCCACCATGGCCGTTGGGGACATAGGGGAGATGGAAGGCTTAATGAAGGTAAACAAGCCTTCATCTGAAGAGCTGTGCCATCTGTCGCTTTGCCATCGAATGTAATTGAGTGTGCCTCGTATTCAAACAGACATGAGTAAATCGGTCATCAGCAATGCTCAGGAAATTGAAATGAAACAAGTTATGTTTAACCCATGTCGAAATGCACTGGACTGATCACAGGCCAATGTGAAATTGATAGCATTTTTTAGAATAATGATAACTCATCCAGTTTGAAACATTCTACTTTTTACTAGAATCACATTTCTAGGTATTAATTACTTGCCCAAGGTAACGGCATAACAGAAAATATTTAAAGATGAGTCCTCCTTACCTTGTATGTTTGATTCCCTGGCCCTCACTAATCGTTTCCACCTAACCTCCCTGGTAATTTACAGTGAGGGAAAAAAGTATTTGATCCCCTGCTGATTTTGTACGTTTGCCCACTGACAAAGAAATTATCAGTCTATAATTGTAATGGTATGTTTATTTGAACAGTGAGAGACAGAATAACAACAACAACAATCCAGAAAAACGAATGTCAAAAATGTTATAAATTGATTTGCATTCTAATGAGGGAAATAAGTATTTGACCCCCTCTCAATCAGAAAGATTTCTGGCTCCCAGGTGTCTTTTATACAGGTAACGAGCTGAGATTAGGAGCACACTCTTAAAGGGAGTGCTCCTAATCTCAGCTTGTTACCTGTATAAAATACACCTGTCCACAGAAGCAATCAATCAATCAGATTCCAAACTCTCCACCATGGTCAAGACCAAAGAGCTCTCCAAGGATGTCAGGGACAAGATTGTAGACCTACACAAGGCTGGAATGGGCTACAAGACCATCGCCAAGCAGCTTGATGAGACGGTGACAACAGTTGGTGCGATTATTCGCAAATGGAAGACACACAAAAGAACTGTCAATCTCTCTCGGCCTGGGGCTCCATGCAAGATCTCACCTCGTGGAGTTGCAATGATCATGAGAACAGTGAGGAATCAGCCCAGAACTACACGGAGGATCTTGTCAATTATCTCAAGGCAGCTGGGACCATAGTCACCAAGAAAACAATTGGTAACACACTACGCCGTGAAGGACTGAAATCCTGCAGCACCCGCAAGGTCCCCCTGCTCAAGAAAGCACATATACAGGGCCGTCTGAAGTTTGCCAATTAACATCTGAATGATTCAGAGGAGAACTGGGTGAAAGTGTTGTGGTCAGATGAGACCAAAATCTAGCTCTTTGGCATCAACTCAACTCGCCGTGTTTGGAGGAGGAAGAATGCTGCCTATGACCCCAAGAACACCATCCCCACCGTCAAACATGGAGGTGGAAACATTATGCTTTGGGGGTGTTTTTCTGCTAAGGGGACAGGACAACTTCACCGCATCAAAGGGACGATGGACGGGGCCATGTACCGTCAAATCTTGGGTGAGAATCTCCTTCCCTCAGCCAGGGCATTGAAAATGGGTCGTGGATGGGTATTCCAGCACGACAATGACCCAAAACACACGGCCAAGGAAACAAAGGAGTGGCTCAAGAAGAAGCACATTAAGGTCCTGGTGTGGCCTAGCCAGTCTCCAGACCTTAATCCCATAGAAAATATGTGGAGGGAGCTGAAGGTTCGAGTTGCCAAACGTCAGCCTCGAAACCTTAATGACTTGGAGAAGATCTGCAAAGAGGAGTGGAACAAAATCCCTCCTGAGATGTGTGCAAACCTGGTGGCCAACTACAAGAAACGTCTGACCTCTGTGATTGCCAACAAGGGTTTTGCCACCAAGTACTAAGTCATGTTTTGCAGAGGGGTCAAATACGTATTTCCCCCATTAAAATGCAAATCAATTTATAACATTTTTGACATGCGTTTTTCTGGATTTTTTTGTTGTTATTCTGTCTCTCACTGTTCAAATAAACCTACAATTAAAATTATAGACTGATCATGTCTTTGTCAGTGGGCAAACGTACAAAATCAGCAGGGGATCAAATACTTTTTTCCCTCATTGTAGATGACCTCCATCTCATTCTGTCGCTATTATTCATTTTTAATGTTGTTCTTAAATGTTGTACCTCCATAGAAAATATTTTCTAATTTGTTTCATGAATACTTTTTATTGAATCATTATTCTCAAGGGAAATGAGCCATCTGTAAAGCAGTCGAAAGAGGAAGGGGACGAGGTTATAACCACTGGCAGTCATTTTGAAAGGACAATCACCGTTGTTAAGGGCAATTCCAATCTCGGTTTGTATTATTTATTTGGCGATATGTTGTATATTGATGAGAAATTGTTGTGAAGAGAACAGCCTTCACTATCAGTCTTTCCTCTTTGCACCCCTTAATTGTATATAAATAAACAAAATATCTGATTATGCTTTGTGTCTGTTAGTGTTGTCGGATATTACTTATTAAATGCGTTACACATAATTGTGGGTAAAGGTTTTACATATAGGTTCCAGGTCTTTGGGAATGTTGTGCATTTTGTCTTTGTATCTACCTTACAGGGATGACAGTGAGCTCCATCAAGGATGGCTTGGGGATGTACATCCGCAGCGTCATCCACGGAGGTTCCATCAGCCGAGACGGCCGTCTGGGGGTGGGGGACCTAATCCTAGTCATCAACGGCGAGCCCACGGCCAACCTGACCAACGCCCAGGCCCGCGCCATGCTCCGGAGACACTCCCTCATCGGGCCAGACATGGGGTAAGGACCAGGACTAGGGGAACATGTTCAGTGTTTTGATACCTTGTCCATGGAAACCTGTTTTATATGGTTTCGCTATAGGCCTTCATTCAAATTCCCACCTACTTCCAACACATACAGTGCAGATTTCACATCAAGTATATTCTCCCTAGATTTCCTACACATTGATACGCACTCCTTTTATGTTACAATGTAAAGTCAGAGAGGATAATATTGTGGAGACCGAAACCCAAAACTTTCATTTTCACTTCCTCTCTACACACATACATAAACACACCATGATACAGTCAGATAAATGGCACCTGACATCACACTAAATAAATGCCCCTTGATCAAATATGGTCCTTTTATTTTTATTTTTCTGAATGATTTGGTTGCTTTTTCTATAGCTTATGTGTACAAAAATGATCAAGTGAATCATTGACTTAAACTTTGTAGTGTATGGAATTTGGGTAAATTGCTCCCAGTTATCCTATTAAGGCTATTTGTTCTGCATCTCTCGTAGAAACAGTTTATCTTCTCATTTTACATCTCCCACACAACAGCTAACTGTTTTACCAAACCATCCAAATGCACATTTAATTGAACTGAATTGAGATGACGAATACACATACCTCACAAACTAGTGTGACTGGCCTTGTCTATTAGTGTAGCAGGGTTTTGTTACTTGTCGTGTTTTTTGTGGACCCCAGGAAGAGTAGCTGCTGCTTCTGCAAAAGCTATTGTGGATCCAAATAAACAAATAAATAAACAAACATAAGAAATAAACAAATAGAAATAAACAACACCTTTTAATGAATCATGTAGTAGAAAGTGTGTTAAGGAGCTCACAGTTTTCTTTTAGCAATGCTCTTATCGTCGATAGTGGGAAATGCCATTGTAATCCAGTGTTGTGAGTCTTAATATCCCTTAGAAGTTTTTCATTCCAAAGCATGATAGCATATAGGCTACCGTACATACATTTCTGATGAACACCACCAATTGAGTACTGCAGGCTACATGAAGGTAGGACTTCCAGTCATGGAAAAGCTTCCTACAGCATTTGGACTGTCCTAGCACAGACGCTCAATGGTGAAATTTGAACAACTCACTAAGGCCTTTTACTTTCCTAAATTGTATTCTCTCCATGTATTCGAGGGAAGCTACATTAAAGTCTGGGGCAACATCATTTCCGGTATCTCAAGTCTTGCTTGCTTAATGCTAAACGTGTCAGTACATTCCAGTATGTTAGCCATGGTGCATAACATCCTCTTCACCTTCTAGATCTGCTTGTGCGCCAGAGGACGATCTGTGCCCCTTTTATGTGTGAGTACCGCTAACTCCCACGCTGACGGGTGTGCAACCAAAATCTACCACTGATTTGTTTCCTCTCTGTACACATTTTCTCACCATCTACATCTGAGTCTCATCACCTGTCCGTGGTAGGGAGTTTTATCCAGATCTAGACATTACAACACATACTGTAAATCAACCATACTGTAAATCAACCATACTGTAAATCAACCATACTGTAAATCAACCATACTGTATATCAACCATACTGTAAATCAACCATACTGTAAATCAACCATACTGTATATCTATCATACACAAACCTTAGTTTGAACAGTTAAGTTCTTTGCTTTCTCTTGGAGCAAAATAGAACAGACTTCTTAGCTAAATGCACTGTTACCGCTTACTCATTAATAATCAAATAATGTTGAAATCTATGGAGATTACAATTCACCAGATCAGATAATAATATAGGCTACATACAGCACATTGACCATAGGTAATCACTGCTTTGCAGATTTTTGAAATACAACATATTTCATATCGCCAATACCAACACCGACATACTGTATCTCCTAAACCATTTTCTTTGGTGTGACAGCAAAGCTTCTGCTGGTGTCCATACGCACAGCTAGTCTAGTTAACGCAGTCCCAACACACAGTCAATGTATCTGGATAAATCTCTCACTGGACTGCACCACTAACCATGTTTATTTTAACACTTCACCCTTAACACTTCATTGCCATGCCTCTCTTGGACTACGGGGCATGCAGGTCCATTTGTGTGGGGTGATAAAGATCGATTTTGCACTTTTTTGTCTGTGCTGTATCCATCCCATCACACACTAATTCACTTATTCCTTCCTTCATCTGTTTTTGGAGGCATTTGAATTGCTATTTGATTCAAGTACCTCAGTGTCTGTATGTCCTAATGTTGAAGTATGACTCAATCCATCATTGTTAGATCTGTCATCTTCACTCAAATGTGTGTGTGTGTGTGTTTTAGAATCAACTACTGATGAATAATTGCTCGAAACTGGGCCTACCAAAGCAGACCTATGCGCTTTTCTACTCCCTTTCATTCAATTCTTAATCATTTGGAATGTCTCTACTGTTCCAGTAAATTAAGAATTGGTGTTCCAATTGATGTTCCCTTCAAAACTCCATGACATATTTTGGAAAGAATTCCCGTACTCAATCCATTGACGGCTCACTACATTATTCATGAATGGCTCACCTTGGGCTCATGATAGGCAGAATGTTCATTCCTTCCCCTTCTGCAATCTTGTGCCGCAGAGTTAAATTGGACGGGGAGGAGAACAACAGGCGTGTTCCTGAATGTGAATTAGACGTCTATGAATAAATAAAAGACTGTTTTGTAAAAGGGCTCTTTCTGACATATCGGGTTGCATATGAATGGAGGCACTTCCACTCTAATGCTTTGTTAAACGATCATGTCATTCCTAATGATGAATTCTGACACAAGGTTGAACTCCTGTGTCATATGTTTATGGATAGGATATATATTTTGGGGGTATTTGTAGTGATGATGAGAAATCTTGGTCAGGTTGATGTTAGGAGGAGTCTGCTGAGGCTCATTGGTGTGTATGCGTACGTGTGTGTGTTCTCAGCATTACGTATGTCCCTGTGGAGTATCTGGAGGAGTACAAGACTAGCCTGGAGCAGCCTAAAGATTACGTCTTCTCTGATGCACCTCCGACCCCAAAGTAAGCTCAAACTTTATAAAAGCAATACATTTATAGAAAGGTATTTTCATAACGATGCCTTGAGTAAACTTATATGTTTTTGTTTTCCAGCATAGACCAGCTTTCACAACATTATTTTGTTGAACTCCAGACAAAACAAGTCGATGAACAAACCATCAGACAAGTTATGGTTTAAAATTGGTTGTCTCTTTGCAGAAGAGAAATCCCAGAACTCCCTGAGCGGGAGGATGGAGAGGGAGAGGAGAGTGAGCTACAGAGCACCACCTTCAGTAACTGGAACCAGCCCACGAAGTGAGTAGGAACTTGGACCAGAACATAGAGTTGAACAACATGCCCTTGCCACAAAGCCTGTTTTAGCATGGGCAGCGCCATTGAAGGCTTTCACTATTTTAAAGTAGTCAACTGGGTGCAATGTCCTATTGGTTAAGAAGTGATAATAGCAATGATAGGGGGCGTACCCTCTTTCCAACTTTAATGTTAAAGAAACAAAGCTGATTGGGTAAATAAATAATAAGCAGTGTTTGGACAGCAAGCCAAGGTTTAAACACCCCTGGTTTATGGAATTAGTTATACCGCTTTGGAACGGAGCTAGAGCCTGCATATATATACAGTACCAGTCAAAAGTTTGGACACAACTACTCATTCAAGGGGTTTTCTTTATTTTTCAAATTTTTTACATTGTAGAATAATAGTGAAGACATCAGAACCATGAAATGACACATATGGAATCATGTAGTAACCAAAAAAGTGTTAAACAAATCAAAATATATTTTATATTTGAAATTCTTCAAATAGCCACCATTTTCCTTGATGACAGCTTTGCACACTCTTGGCATTCTCTAAAACAGCTTCACCTGCAATGCTTTTCCAACAGTCTTGAAGGAGTTCCCACATATGCTGAATACTTGTTGGCTACTTTTCCTTCACTCTGCGGTCCGACTCATTGTGGATTGTGGAGGCCAGGTCATCTGATGCAGCACTCCATCACTCTCCTTCATGGTAAAATAGCCCTTACACAGCCTGGAGGTGTGTTGGGTCATTGTCCTGTTGAAAAACAAGTGATAGTCCCATTAAGCCCAAACCAGATGGGATGGCGTATCGCTGCAGAAGGCTGTGGTAGCCATACTGGTTAAGTGTGCCTTGAATTCTAAATAAATCACAGACAGTGTCACCAGCAAAGCACCCCCACACCATCACACCTCCTCCTCCATGCTTTACGGTGTCTCACAAAGACAGCAGCTTTGCAGCAGAGGTAACTCTGGGTCTTCCATTCCTGTGGCGGTCCTCATGAGAACCAGTTTCATAATAGCGCTTGATGGTTTTTGCGACTGCAAATGTTCCGTATTGACTGACCTTCTTGTCTTAAAGTAAGATTGGACTGTCGTTTCTCTTTGCTTATTTGAGCTGTTCTTGCCATAATATGGACTTGGTCTTTTACCAAATAGGGCTATCTTCTGTATACCCCCCCCCCCTACCTTGTCACAAAAATTAAAATAAAAACTGATTGGCTCAAATGCATTAAGGAAAGAAAAGACCACAAATTAACTTTTAAGAAGGTACACCTGTTAATTGAAATGCATTCCAGGTGACTACCTCATGAAGCTGGTTGAGAGAATGCCAAGAGTGTGCAGAGCTGTCATCAAGGCAAAGGGTGGCTATTTGAAGAATTTGTTTAACACTTTTTTAGTTACTACATGATTTCATATGTGTTATTTAATAGTTGTGTTGTCTTCACTGTTATTCTACAATGTAGAAAATAGTAAAAATAAAGAAAACCCCTTGAATGAGTAGGTGTGTCCAAACTTTTGACTGGTACTGTACATACAGTGGCTTGCGAAAGTATTCACCCCCCTTGGCATTTTTCCTATTTTGTTGCCTTACAACCTGGAATTAAAATGGATTATTTTGGGGTTTGTTTCATTTGATTTACACAAACTGCCTACCACTTTGAAGATGCAAAATATTGTTTTGGGTGAAACAAACAAGAAATAAGACAAAATAATTGAAAACTTAAGCGTGCATAACTATTCACCCCCCCCCCCCCAAAGTCAATATTTGTAGAGCCAAAAAGCTCAATTTTATCTTATTTTTTTCTGTAAGCAATGGCTTTTTTCTGGCCATTCTTCCGTAAAGCCCAGCTCTGTGGAGTGTACGGCTTAAAGTGGTCCTATGGACAGATACTCCAATCTCCACTGTGGAGCTTTGCAGCTCCTTCAGGGTTATGTTTGGTCTCTTTGTTGCCTCTCTGATTAATGCCCTCCTTGCCTGATCCGTGAGTTTTGGTGGGCGGCCCTCTCTTGGCAGGTTTGTTGTGGTGCCATATTCTTTCCATTTTTTAATAATGGATTTAATGGTGCTCCGTGGGATGTTCAAAGTTTCGGATATTTTTTTATAACCCAACTCTGATCTGTACTTCTCCACAACTTTTCCCTGACCTGTTTGGCGAGGTCCTTGGTCTTCATGGTGCCGCGTGCGAGGTGGTGCCCCTTGCTTAGTGGTGTTGCAGATTCTGGGGCCTTTCAGAACAGGTGTATATATACTGAGATCATGTGACAGATCATGTGACACTTAGATTGCACACAGGTGGACTTTATTTAACTAATTATGTGACTTCTGAAGGTAATTGGTTGCACCAGATCTTATTTAGGGGCTTCTTAGCAAAGGGGGTGAATACATACGCACGCACCACTTTCTGTTATTTATTTTTTAGAATTTTTGAAACAAGTTAGTTTTTTCATTTCACTTCACCAATTTGGACTATTTTGTTTATGTCCATTACATGAAATCCAAATAAAAATCAATTTAAATTACATGTTGTAATGCAACAAAATAGGAAAAACGCCAAGGGGGATGAATACTTTTGCAAGGCACTGTATATATATATTTTTACCCCTTTTTCTTCCCCATTGGTAGTTACAGTTTTGTCCCATCGCTACGACTCCAAATACGGACTCGGCAGAGGCGAAGGTTGAGAGCCATGCGTCCTCCGAAACACGACCCTGCCAAGCAGCATTGCTTTTTGACACACTGCTTGTTTAACCCAGAAGCCAGCCACACCAATGTGTTGGAGGAAACACCGTACAACTGGCAACCGAAGTCAGCGTGCATGCGCCCGGCCCGCCACAAGGAGTCGCTAGAGCTCGATGGGACAAGGACGTCCCGGCCGGCCAAACCCTCCCCTAACCCGGACGACGCTGGGCCAATTGTGCGCCGCCTCACGGGTCTCCCGGTCGCTGCACCACTCGGGAGGCCACAGATAGAAATGTAGCCAATTTGCAGAACTGACACAGTTCCCTAATCTAAATGACTTAGAATCATATCCGGTCTACCTAATTTACCGACCCGCCACAATGCCCCATTTCATACAACAGAGAATAATTTCCATTCTCAATTGTTGAACCTTCTGTAATGTTGTACTCTCCTGATATTGTATTCAATAGGTGAGATTTTTACACAAGCCATTTCCTCCTTCAATGTCACATCGTATTTTTTCTTTGTGTGCAAATAAATCAAATTATAACAACCCCAGAACAGGAGTTGGCCAACCCTGTCCCAAGCAGTGGCGCAATACAGTAAACCTTTTAAAAATATATTTTACAATGTGTGTTGCCTCGCTCAGGGTGGAGCTCAAAAGAGAAGCGGGAAAGTCCCTTGGCATCAGCATTGTGGGGGGCAGAGGGATGGGCAGTCGCCTTAGCAACGGCGAGGTGATGCGGGGCATCTTCATCAAACACATCCTGGAGGACAGCCCCGCCGGCCGCAACGGAACTCTAAAGACTGGAGATAGGATTGTTGAGGTACACCAATCGATATTATTTCACAGAATAGAGATTAGAGTGTAGTTACTTTGACGTGATGAAATGGTAATTGCACAGTAATAACCTATGAATTACTTGTTTGTTTCTTTGGAATGTATCAGGTGGACGGTGTGGACCTGAGTGATGCCAGTCACGAGCAGGCTGTGGAGGCCATCCGCAGGGCAGGAAACCCCGTAGTGTTCCTGGTCCAGAGTATCGTCCACAGGCCCAGGGTGAGCCCTCTAGCTCCTTGTGTTAGCCTGCTAGCATGCTATCTTACTGTGATAGCATGCTAGCTAAGTGGTCCTAGCTCCCTGTGTTAGGATTCTAGCTAACTGGGATAGCATTCTAGCTAAGTGGTCCTAGCTCCCTATGTTAGCATGCTAGCTGTGTGGCTGTCTTTCAACAACAATACTTGATTTCCTAATCTCTCACCATTAATTATTCCATTTAACACAAATGTAACTTCTAAAAGCTTCTTAACCATCCTGTATCCAACAAAGACTACAGTATCTATATCTGTCTCATGGCTTCAAAAATATGACTGGCTATTAGGGCTCTTCGTGAGAGGATGGATTTGAAGTGGGAGAAAGGCTTTTGCTCATATTCAATTAATTGACAGATTCCTTGTCAGGATCCATTTAATTAAAAAACTTAAAATGACAAAACATTAGACTGACTGTATTTTTGCTGCATCATCTTGATTGGTTTGAAAGTGCCCTTAGCATGACTAACTAATATCCTAATGAAATTGCTGCAAGCTTTGCAATAGCCGACATACACTCAGTGGTCAGTTTATTAGGTACACCCTTTTAGTACCGGGTCGGACCCACCTTTGCCTCCAGAATAGCCTGAATTCTTCGGGGCATGGATTCTACAGGATGTGGCGTTCAAACATTGCTCAATTGGTATCAAGGGACCTAACGTGTGCCAGGAAAACATTCCCCACACCATTACACCACCGCCACCAGCCTGTACCGTTGACACCAGGCAGGATGGGGCCATGGAATCATGCTGCTTACACCAAATTCTGACTCTGCCATCAGCATGACACAACAGGAACCGGGATTCGTTGGAGCAGGCAATGTTTTTCCACTCCTCAATTGTCCAGTGTTGGATTGTTTTCCCACTGGAGCCGCTTCTTCTTGTTTTTAGCTGATAGTAGTGTAACCCGGTGTTGGTTGTCTGCTGCAATAGCCCATCCGTGATAAGGACCGACAAGTTGTGCATTCCGAGATGCTGTTCTGCACACCACTGTTGTACTGCGCCATTATTTGCCTGTTTGTGGCCTGCCTGTTTCTTGCCATTCTCTTTCGAACTCTCTCATCAATGAGCTGTTTTCGCCCACAGGACTGCCACCGACTAAATGTTTTTTGTTTGTCGCCCTAGACACTGTCGTGCGTGAAAAACATAGCAGGCCGGCTGTTTCTGAGATACTGGAACCGGCGCGCCTGGCACTGACGATCACGCTCGAAGTCGCTTAGGTCACTCGTTTTGCCCATTCTAACGTTCAATTGAACAGTAACTGAATGCCTGTCTGCCTGCTTGCTTTATATAGCAAGCCACGGCCAAGTGACTCACTGTAGGAGTAAACCATTTTCGTGAACTGGGTGGTGTACCTAATAAACTGGCCAACGAGTGTATATTGACATACAACTCACAATCATTAATTAGTATGCATGGTTAAAGCTTTCCGGACCTTTTCCACAACCTTCCACTAACCAGTCCAGCATGCACCTCTTCCTCAGCCCAAGTCCCACTATAGCCCCCCTTCGTCACCAGTCATAGAGTACAGCACCGCTTTAAAACGCTTGCCTCATCACATGTGCCAGGTAATCTCTCTCTCTCTCTCTTTCACTCTCGGTTTCTTTTTCTTTCTTTCTTTTTTTATTTGTTCCTCTTTTTCTTTACACATCAGTAGAGTCTATGTTGCTTTATCTCTCCATTCAGGAGTATTCACAGGTTTGCTTATAGTCTACTTAATGTATGTGTGTGCAAAAAAAGAGACCCAATAGAAAATTGGAATCGGGTTGCATCCAGGGTAAACGTTATATGCTGCAAAGGTTAACTGCTGTGGGCAGGTCTGTATTGCTCTTGTCCTTTTAAATAGTGCCAGTGGGGCCCACCTGCAGATCGTAATGATGCTTCCTAGCAGTTACCCCTTTATGGCCTTCTACACTTCAATGTCACTGGTGAATAATCCAAAAGCAGCCTTGAGGATTCTCTGAAACGTTTATTGTTTGGCTTCTAAGAAAGAGCTCAACTTTGATTTTATTTTCCTTTTTTAACTGGTCTCCTTGAGGTCATTTATTACTAGTCACTCATTTTGGAGTAATTTTGATAACTCCAGAGGTATTTTTACTATTGAGCCTACATTTTCTTGGTGTTTTAACTTTTGAGCCTCCAAATTCCCTTCTTTCCAGGACAGCCTTTGATTCCATTTTTATCAGTGCCCAATCTTACTTCATGTAGACTGTGATTGCTTTTTCCTCCTTTCGCTGCTCAAGGTCTGCTTTTGGGGGGTCAATCCTACAGTGTATAATATACTATATCAGTGTAGAATAGTTCTCTTTGGCCCAGTTTCCCAGACCCAGATTAATTCTACTAATGAACTTAAAAGCATGCTCAGTGGAAAATCGCCATTGAAAGTGCTTTTGAGTCCAGGAATAGATTGTGTCTGCCTGGGATAGCAGCTCATTAAGTTATGTGAACTGAGAAAGAATCAAGGAACAGGAAAACCTAAAAGAACACAATAGCCAATATGTTCAGTACCCCAAACCACAAGGTTCACTGCATGTTGCTGTGGTGGTTTCTGGCTGGCAGGCAGATATATTAAGTCAGCTCCTGGGTGAGAGATGGTCAGCCCTGGGTGGAATATTGATTACCGGGCTGCCTACCTCACTGGCCGCATCATTTTAGTTTTCCCAATGTGGAACGTATACAGTACCTTCTCTGACCAAGGGCAATCCATACTCTGGTGTAGCCAAGCCTATACAACCTGTCACGCTCTGGCTCCGGGACTTTGTATGTTGAGCCAGGGTGTGTACGTTTCGTTGTGTTTTGTTTGGTTGGGTTGTCATGTGGTTATGTTTCCTTGTTTGTATTGAGTGACTCCCAATCAGAGGTAACGAGTGTCAGCTGTCGGCTCGTTATCTCTGATTGGGAGCCATATTTAACTGTGTGTTTTCACCTTGTGTTTGTGGGTTTTTGTTCCGTATTCAGTCTTTGTCACTGTGGACTTCACGTATCGTCATTGTTTGTTGTTTTGGCATTGAGTACTTTAAGTTAATAAAGTCATGTTCGCTCAACGCGCTGCGCTTTGGTCTCCCTCATTGGACGATCGTGACAGAAAAACCCACCGTAAAAGGACCAAGCAGCGTGTCCAGGAGCAAGGAGACTGGACAGGGGAGGAAGCGCCGGGTAAGGAGATAGAGAGGCTGGCGATGGCCCAGGTGGGCAAATCGTGGTCCTGGCAGGACATGCTCGGGGGCAAGGGACCTTGGGGAAGGATCAAGGCCCTGGCGAGAGAGGAGCAACGGCGTCAGCAGGGCCATCGTCGGATGGAAGAGAGGCAACCCCAAAAAAAATTTGGGGGGGGGCACATGGCTTGGGCGGCTGGGCAGCAGGAGGCTGCCACAGGGCAATTTGGAGAGGAGGCCACCGGGTTTTGGGGGCCAGAAGGCAGGTTGGCGAGGCCGGGATGGAGAGCGGAACCAACTTCCCGTACTCAGGCATGGCAGCATGGGACGGGGCAGGTTCCGCGGTATGCGGAGCAGCGTACGGTGCCACGAGTGGTCCGGCACAGTCCTGTACGTCCTGTGCGAGCACCCCGCACGTGTCGTGCGAAGGGGGGTATGCAGCCAGGACGGAGTGTGCCGGCTCAACGCTCGTGGTCTCCTATGCCTCTCCGCGGTCCCGGATATCCTGCTCCAGTATCACGTGCTGTCATGTCGGTACGGGTACACAGCCCTGTACGTCCTGTGCGGATGCCTCACACAGAGTGTGTGAAGGTAGGCATTCAGCCGGGACGTATTGTGGCCGCTCTTCATTCCAGGTCTCCTATCCGTCTCCACAGTCCGGTGAGGCCTGTTCCTGCTCCACGCACAAAACCTACGGTGTGCGTCGCCAGCCCAGCCCGGCCTGTTCCTGCTCAACGCACAAAGCCTACGGTGTGCGTCGCCAGCCCAGCCCGGCCTGTTCCTGCTCCACGCACAAAACCTACGGTGTGCGTCGCCAGCCCAGCCCGGCCTGTTCCTGCTCAACGCACAAAGCCTACGGTGTGCGTCGCCAGTCCAGCCCGGCCTGTTCCTGCTCAACGCACAAAGCCTACGGTGTGCGTCGCCAGCCCAGCCCGGCCTGTTCCTGCTCCACGCACAAAACCTACGGTGTGCGTCGCCAGCCCAGCCCGGCCTGTTCCTGCTACTCGCACCAAGCCAAGGGTGCAAGTCGTCAGCCTGGTCCAGCCCGTTCCTGCTACTCGCACCAAGCCAAGGGTGCGAGTCGTCAGCCTGGTCCAGTCCGTTCCTGCTACTCGCACCAAGCCAAGGGTGCGAGTCGTCAGCCTGGCCCAGCCCGTTCCTGCTACTCGCACCAAGCCAGGGGTACGAGTCGTCGGCCTGGTCCAGCCCGTTCCTGCTACTCGCACCAAGCCAAGGGTGCGAGTCGTCAGCCTGGTTCAGCTCGTCCCTGCTACTCGCACCAAGCCAAGGGTGCGAGCCGTCAGCCTGATCCAGCCCATTCCTACTACTCGCACCAAGCCAGGGATGCGAGTCGTCAGCCTGGTGAGGCCCGTTCCGGCTCCACGCATCAAGCCTAGGGTGCGTATCGTCAGCCAGGTCCGGTCCGTTCCTGCCTCACGCGCCAAGCCAGGGGTGCGCGTCGTCAGTCCAGATCCTACCAGCTGGGTCAGATCGGACCGGGGGCGCTACGGGGGGATTGAAGAAGGGTGGTGGTCAAGCCCGGAGCCGGAGCCGCCTCCGAGGAGTAATGCCCACCCAGCCCTCCCCTGTTTGGGGTTTTTGAGGCGCGGTCGCAGTCCGCGCCTTTAGGGGGGGGTACTGTCACGCTCTGGCTCCGGGACTTTGTATGTTGAGCCAGGGTGTGTACGTTTCGTTGTGTTTTGTTTGGTTGGGTTGTCATGTGGTTATGTTTCCTTGTTTGTATTGAGTGACTCCCAATCAGAGGTAACGAGTGTCAGCTGTCGGCTCGTTATCTCTGATTGGGAGCCATATTTAACTGTGTGTTTTCACCTTGTGTTTGTGGGTTTTTGTTCCGTATTCAGTCTTTGTCACTGTGGACTTCACGTATCGTCATTGTTTGTTGTTTTGGCATTGAGTACTTTAAGTTAATAAAGTCATGTTCGCTCAACGCGCTGCGCTTTGGTCTCCCTCATTGGACGATCGTGACACAACCACAACTCCTGAAGAAAAAAACAACCACTGATGTTTTGCTCAGGCTAATTTTTCTGTTATATTCAAACTAATGTTTTTAATATATATGGATGCTTTTACTTTTCTGAATGTACATTCTATACATTTTAGACATTGCCCATGCAAGCCTCACCAATTTAAATACAATATGATGTCTCAACGTTGTAAGTTCAGCCTTTGCTGATATGTCATTTGATGACAATACCTAGCGATGCATTTTTCATGTCTCCCTCTTGTACACAACAGTCCTCAACCACGGACACCAACGAGGAGAGAGTGGCGGCCATGGTGCGGCGCAATAGTGACAAGGTTAGTAACACATACACTACCGGTCAAAAGTTGGGACACACCTACTCATTCAAGGGTTTTTCTTTATTTTTTACTATTTTCTACATTGTAGAATAATAGTGAAGACATCAAAACTATGATGTGATGCATATGGAATCATGTAGTAACCAACAAAGTGTTAAACAAATCAAAATAGATTTAATCTTTGAGATTCTTCAAATAGCCACCCTTTCCCTTGATGACAGCTTTGCTCACTCTTGGCATTCTCTCAACCAGCTTCACCTGGAATGCTTTTCCAACAGTCTTGAAGGAATTCCCATATGCTGACAACTTGTTGGCTGCTTTTCCTTCACTCTGCTGTCCGACTCATCTGAAACCATCTCACTTGGGTTGAGGTCGGGGGATTGTGGAGGCCAGGTCATCTGATGCAGCACTCCATCACTCTCCTTCTTGGTAAAATAGCCCTTACACAGCCTGGAGGTGTGTTGGGTCATTGTCCTGTTGAAAAACAAATAATAGTCCCACTAAGCCCAAACCTGATAGGATGGCGTATCACTGCAGAATGCTGTGAAAGCCATGCTGGTTAAGTGTGCCTTGAATTCTAAATAAATCACAGACAGTGTTACCAGCAAAGCACCCCCACACCATAACACCTCCTCCTCCATCCTTTACGGTGGGAACTACACATGCGGAGATCATCCGTTCACCCACACCGCGTCTCACAAAGACACAGCGGTTTGAACCAAAAATATCAAATTTGGACTCCAGACCAAAGGACGAATTTCCACCGGTCTAATGTCCATTGCTCGTGTTTCTTGGCCCAAGCAGGTCTTTTCTTCTTATTGGTGTCCTTTAGTAGTGGTTTCTTTGCAGCAATTCGACCATGAAGGCCTGGTTCACACAGTCCCCTCTGAACAGTTGATGTTGAGATGTGTCTGTTACTTGAACTCTGTGAAGCATTTATTTGGGCTGCAATTTCTGAGGCTGGTAACTCTAATGAACTTATCCTCTGCAGCAGAGGTAACTCTGGGTCTTCCATTCCTGTGGCAGTCCTCATGAGAGCCAGTTTCATCATAGCGCTTGATGGTTTTTGCGACTGCACTTGAAGAAACTTTCAAAGTTCTTGAAATGTTACGTATTGACTGACCTTCATGTCTTCAAGTAATGATGGACTGTCATTTCTCTTTGCTTATTTGAGCTGTTCTTGCCATAATATGGACTTGGTCTTTTACCAAATAGGGCTATCTTCTGTATACCCCCCCCTACCTTGTCACAACACAACTGATTGGCTCAAATGCATTAAGAAGGAAAGAAATTCCACAAATTAACTTTTAAGAAGGCACACCTGTTAATTGAAATGCATTCCAGGTGACTACCTCATGATGCTGGTTGAGAGAATGCCAAGAGTGTGCAAAGCTGTCAAGGCAAAGGGTGGCTATTTGAAGAATCTCAAATATAACATATATTCTGATTTGTTTAACACTTTTTTGGTTACTACATGATTCCATATGTGTTATTTCATAGTTTTTATGTCTTCACTATTATTCTACAATGTAGAAAATAGTAAAAATAAAGGAAAACCCTTGAATGAGTAGGTGTGTCCAAACTTTTGACTGGTACTGTATGTCAAATACTTTCAAATACTTGAGGTGCACTGGATTTAGCTCAGAGCAAAGCAGACAAAGCACAGCTCATGTACTGTATTTGAAAGGGTGCTGGTCTTGTAACCTTAGGTAACACCTGTAATTTGACGTATTGTCGTAGAAGTCTCAAATCAAATTCCTGCAGGGATTTATCTTATATTAGGATTTCTAGTAGACCTAGCACTTCACTCTCATTCATAGTGGTGGGAGTGAAGTTTCTGCCTTTAGTTTCACAATGTTGTTGCCCTAAAAAGTGACTGACTCTTCTCTGTTCTCTGTAGAAGGTTGAGAGTCACAGTAGACTATTCCTACGCCTCTCCCCAACTAACCCTTTCACTCCTACTCCGTTTAAGGTTTGTTGGTCTTTGTGTTGTTGTGCTTTTCACCTTCTATTTCCATGTATGCTTGTACAGTTGTGTTATGGAATATATGTGGAGACACATATATTGGACAGGCCTTGCATGCATACATGCTGTCCTAACATCTTTCCACTAAACCTATTTGAATCCTTTTTTATTTTTTGTGTTTTGTTGTTTACAAATAGCTTCGATACAAATTTCGGAATTTTGCAACGCTTTGCAAAATGTGAAAATTAAAATGGCCCAAATTAAACCCCAAATTCATCCCCAAAATATGCAATGTTTTGATTCGGAATCCAAATGCATTTGAATTTGCCTAAATTTATAAAAATAATCCTGTTTGCCTTTTATTGTGTTGCACTTGTTTCATAAGGTAAGTGTACATTTGCATGTGTTACCAGATGGACAATGGTTGGATTGAATTCTATCAGTAAGGAACATTTGTTATTAAACTCATTCTTGAATATTGAAGTAATCTAGAAATACACTACTTATGACGTTGCTTACAGCAAGCATTCCTTGATTAGGCATATAAAAAAAAAATATCCCTAAAAAATAGGGTAATACTATTTTAAATTGTCCACCTGCACATGAGTGACTAAAACGTACTTTACCGACTCAACTTAACAAGCTTTAGGTTGTAGTCAGCTAAACCTGCTACGTTGAAACTAAGCGATTGTTATCTGCCTTTTTGCCACAAAACAAATCTGTTTTCCCAACACTTCTGTGGTGTGGCAGCTGCCAAAGCGGGAAGCGGGAAAGACATCGTCCACCACTCCTCACCTCTCCCTTCCCATGGTTCCCCACGTTGGAGAGACAAACACGGATACCCTGACAGAGATTCCCGACAAACCGGCCCAGACGGAAGAGGAGGATGAGTTTGGCTACAGCTGGAGTGAGTGTGACGAGATGAACAGATCTAGGAACAGTTTACCTTTACTCTTAATCCTAACCATGGAAGGGGCAAAACTGACCATTAGGGGCAACTTCCTCCTTCTTCATGAAAGGACCGAAGTTGTCTAACCATGTTATGTAATCTGGATTCTCACAATGTTCTTAGTGATCATTACACAATGAATAAGACCATGGACCCAGTCCAGAAACCCAACCCCTAGCCCCTACTCCCTAGGCACTTGTGGAGAACTGGATAGATTTGAAAGGGGAAAGTCCTACCAATTCTAAAGAGGACAATGTGCAGTTATTACCATATTTATACCTATCAAATCATTTCAGATTTACAGGAAGATCCCAGTGGGTAGGCAGTAGTGTTTGCTTGCAGACTATGCCATGGATTCAGAAAGTTCCATCTTGGCTTGCCTCCTCCCATGTGCTAGCACCTATCGGCCACTAGAGGACGTCCACATTGCAATCATAGTCTTGCCAGTGCTTGAATTGGGCCAGAACACACACCGGTACACCCAAAATGAGTGCCGGCTCCTATTTCAGTCCACTTCAAGAACTAACTATTTTTATTTGTATTTATTATGGATGCCCATTAGTTCCTGCCAAGGCAGCAGCTACTCTTCCTGGTGTCCAGCAAAATAAAGGCAGTTATTTACAATAAAAACAACAACAATACATTACATTTCACAACAGATTTCACAACACATTTAGTGTGTGCTCTTAGGACATAAGGTGTATTTTTATCTGTTTTTTAATCTGATTTTACTGCTTGCATGAGTTACTTGATGTGGAATAGAGTTCCATGTAAGTCTTGCTACTAGGCTCCCAAGGCAAGTCAACTAGGCTAGCACAGTGATATTATACCTATCCAGTTATTCAAAATGAAGTGCCTAGGTCCCCTCAACTCTGGACCTCGAAACCAGTCCCACTGCATTTTCTTCCCCTCTAATCAGGGACTGATTTAGACCTGGGACACCAGGTGGGTGCAAGTAATTATCAGGTAGAACAGAAAACCAGCAGGCTCCGGACCTCGTAGGATAAGAGTTGAATACCCCTGGCCTAGGGGTTGGGGAAAGGGGTTGTTTCTGGATGGGGCCTCGGGCTCTTCTGATTACGGACAGTATAGTCCCTCCTGGGCCCCTGGTGAATGCAGTGTGTGTGTGTGTGTGTGTGTGTGTGTGTGTGTGTGTGTGTGTGTGTGTGTGTGTGTGTGTGTGTGTGTGTGTGTGTGTGTGTGTGTGTGTGTGTGTGTGTGTGTGTGTGTGTGTGTATGTGTGCGTGTGCGTGTGCGTGTGTGTGTGTGCGTGTGTGTGTGTGTCCTGTGTTGATCCGATTGATGAGGTGGAGACTGGAGAGGTGAGTCAGGGAGATTAGTACAGGAGTTCTAGCTATATTTGGCTCTATTCAATCATTTCTCATGTGAATTATAATTATACAACACACACAGGTCGTAGTCAAGTCTGCCACTGTATTCACATTCATCAGTAGGATTGGTCAGTGTTTCAACCCATTTCAATCTATCCACTGTTCTCTACAGAGAACATCAGTCAGAGGTATGGCAGCCTCCCAGGGCTTCTGCACATGATTGAGCTGGAGAAAGGGAAGACTGGCCTGGGCCTTAGTCTGGCTGGCAACCGTGACCGCTCTCGCATGAGCGTGTTTGTGGTCGAGATCGACCCCAGTGGAGCCGCTGGCAAAGATGGTCTCGTTGTGGTCGGGGATGAACTGTTGGAGGTGAGGGGCTTGGATTAGTAATGTAGTGGTCACAGATGCTCTAGATGGGTGGTTCTTAACCAGGAGTTGATGCCCAGTGGGTATTACTGTGTTATATGGTCTGAATCATCAAATATTACTTGATTTAGCTTTTCCTCTCTGATTTGATATCTACGTTTAATTTTAATCCCGACAATATTATCTGAGGTTTGCAGGAAGCAAGCAAAACTAATGACAGTTGCTGAATTTAATAATATTGCATCGAATTCAGTGGAATAAATTTGTATGAAAGACAGTAGTAACAAGTGAATTTCTGCACCCTATCAGATCAACGGGCAGATTCTGTATGGGCGGAGTCACCAGAATGCCTCCTCCATCATCAAAAGCGCCCCGTCGAAGGTCAAGATCATTTTCATCAGGTGGGGTATTTAAATAAACAGGGACATATATCCCAAGTCCTTATCTCCATCCTTCCACCAAGTATTGTTTCAAGTATCTTTACCAAGCCTTAACAAGAACAAAAATGTATAGATAGTGTAGCTCTGTTTTCCAACTCCAGTCCTCCAGTACCCCCAACAGTATACATTTTTGTTGTAGCCTCGGACAAACTCACCTGATTCAACTGGTCAACTAATCATCAAGCCCTCAATGAGTTGATTCAGGTGTTTTTGTCTGGACTACAACAAAAACGTGTGCTGTTGGGGGTAGTGGAGGACTGGAGTTGGAAAACACTGTTGTAGCTGAGCCCCTTCCATACCAGAGGACTAGTTCAAGTCTAATGCATCACCATATAAAGCCCAGTAGATGGAGCTGTGGTCTTACAAAGGACTGATGTAACTTGATATCAGCGAAGACACAAGGGGCATCTCAATACTCCCAAGATGTCTTCTTCAATTTTCTCCCGGCCTGTGTTATTATCAGTCAGAATCGGTGAAAACCCAGCTAGTTATCACACATAAACATAATAAATCAGACCAATATAAGCGATTCTCGACTCATGGATCAACACACACTACTTAACTCAGCTGATAGCCTCAATTAGACTGTGGTTCACAGACTCAGGATGCGCCCCAATTGGCACTCTATTCACTACATCAGGGATCATCAACTAGATTCAGCCGCGGGACAATTTTTTTTTCTTGAGCGTATGGTCAGGGGGCCGGAACATAATTACAAATCATTTGTAAACTGCAAATTGACCGCAAGAAGCCCAAACCGATATAGTAGTTGACTAAAACATAATCATTTCATACGATCACATAATCAAATCAAATTGTATTGGTCACATACACGTGTTTAGCAGATGTTATTGCGGGTGTAGCGAAATGCTTGTGTTTCTAGCTCCGACAGTGCAGTATATCTAACAATAAATATTTAACAATTTCACAACATATACCCAATACACAGAAATCTAAGTAAAGCAACGGAATTAAGAATATATAAATAAATATATGGACGAGCAATGTCAGAGCGGCATAGACTAAGATACAGTAGAATAGTATAGAATACAGTATATACATATGAGATGAGTAATGCAAGATATGTAAACATGATTATATGTTATTATATATCTGTCTATTATGCGAAGGAATACTTTGGAACAGATTTCCATAATTTTTTATGTCCAACAATTTAAGAAAAAAAGTAGTGCACTGTATAGGGGAAGGGGTGCCATTTGGGATGCAGGCTTAGTGATTCATATGAGCTATGGGTCTCAGACAGGAAGAAAGCTGGGTGTGATTTACTCCGATTAGTGATTTACTCTGAGTTTTGACTGGTGGGCAGGAACACAGATGCTCTCAACCAGATGGCTGTGGGACCAGTGAGGGAGCATGGAGACACCCTGGAGCCCCAGACAGAGGTAAACACACACACACACACATGCAGGCATGTGCACACAAAGGCATAGTACATACACACATGTGGGCATTCACATACACACACGCATATAAAAGTCCTTACAGTGTGAAGCAGCTCAATGACTGAAAATACACTCAAATATTCTATTCTTTCAATCTCTTATTATTCATTTTTTCACAGCTGGAAACATGTTCTTCCATTGCACCCTCAGCGATCAATGTCGACATGTTGAAATACGTGCAGCACGTCATACTGCCGAAGGTGAGACACTCAAGACTCCCGTGCTGCTCTGCTATGAGTTACCTGGAGACGCTCCCGTGCTGCTATGAGTTATATAACCTCAGACCTCTTCAGGAAAAGGTTTTATTGACGAGGTCATAAAACAAAGGGAAGTAGAGAGAAAGAAAGAAAGAGAGAGCGGGAGGGGGGTGGAAATAGCCTGTTCTAGTTTGATAGGCTGCTGAGAGAAAGAGAGAGAGAGAGAGAGAGAGACAGAGAGAAAAAGAGAGAGCGAGAGAGAGAGATGGGCCTATTCTAATTGGACAGGCTGCTACAAGAGAGACAGAGAGAGACACATAGAGAGAGAGAGAGAAAGAGAGAGAGAGAGAGAGAGACAGAGAGAGAGAGACAGAGAGAGACACATAGAGAGAGAGAGAGAAAGAGAGAGAGAGAGAGAGAGACAGAGAGAGAGAGACAGAGAGATAGGCCTATTCTAATTGGACAGGCTGCTACAAGAGAGAGGGAAGCGAATGATCGAGGGACGACAGCAATCTACCCCAGGAACTGAGAGAGAGCAGGATAGACAGACAGAGAGAGAGAAAGAAAGAAAGAATGAGAGAGGGGGATGTCAACCTATTCTAATTTAATGGGTCTTCTGACAAGCCAAACACCTGGATGGGAGTCACAGCCTAGCTGTCTATCCACATGGTTTATTATGTAATAGTATATTAGAGGATCACGGTATGAAGGTAACATCTGGTATGGGCACATACCAGACACATACTTCCCTGTTACTTCCGCACACTCTCCAGGAACAAAAGATCAAGATGCTGAGTGAAGCTGGGTAGTGTTCATCACGGCACATTGTACCAAAACATTTTGTAACGGAAAATGTAATTAAGTGTTTTGTGTTGTTCAAGTTCAGATGTTACCTCCCCATTTATTTCGGTTTCTGACCATTTTCTTCGGTTTCATGCCTAATGAACACAACACTGGCACTAGTTTTTTCTACTACTCCAGCCACTTTATTCTTGTCTGAAAAAAGCGTACAATAGAGTCTCTGATGTAGGTAGAACCATAATGTTCCAAAATGCCTCACAATTTACAAAACAAACCGTTCTTGCATTGTGATGTTTCTGATCTATTGCTCGCTATGTTCATGTTTAATGCGTCGTCATGCATATTTCATGTGCATAATTATGTTTTCAATTGTGATTCACAGTGCCTATAATTATGGTTGACAGGGAGTTATCGAGTAAAATTCAAGTACATTATCACTGTTTATCTCTAGGAGGAGGGTGGATTCGGCATCACTTTCAGTGAGGAGGACACCAAGAATGGGGTGGTGATTCAGAGTATAACTGAAAAAGGACCAGCAGGAAAGGTTTGTCACTCTAGTGTTTCTTACTCTACAGGTATCCTCTATAGAAGTGTTCTGGGAGACCCACAAGGGGAGCAGGCTTTTGTTCCAGCCCAGCACTAACCCACCTAATATAACTGGTATCGTGTGAGTTGGTAGAACATGGCACTTGCAACGCCAGGGTTGTGGGTTCGATTCCCACAGGGAACCAGTACGGAAAATAAATATGAAATAAGAGCATCTGCGAAAATGTAAATAACTGCTCATTAGGACCTTGATTAGTTGAATCAGTAAATTGCTGGGTTGGAACAAAATCCTGTAGCGGTCCATGACTATCTTTAAAGAACAATGCTCTCCAGAAAAACCTATTGGGACAATTCTACGTGTTATGCTAATTGGATGGCCACATTTTACGCATGCAAAACATTCTCTAACACCAGTCCTGTATTACTCTATGCAGGACGGCAGCATCAAATCTGGAGATAAACTCCTGGCTGTGGAGGATGAGCCAGTGACGGGCTACACTGTGGAGAGGGTAAGATCTGCCTCTGCAGCCATTTTAGACACACACCCTACGGCCAGGGTTAATGTATATTTAGATGATTAGCTTGTTGAGTGTTAGTTTAACGTATACCATGGCATTGTTGAATACTCCTTTCTGATTGGCTTGAAGGGCATTCTAAAGCGTGTATTATTTCCATATACCACACGGTATATTTACATGGTAGAATTCAATGGCTATAGTTAATTTTCACGTTTTGTTTGAGCTGCTTTTGAAAGCAAAAGTCGAATTGAAAACAGTATTGGTATTGTTAAATTAGATTTTCATAATAGCAAGCTAGGACTGATGGTTTGGTTAACTAAACTAGCAAGTCTGTTTGGTTGGTTACCACGGCAACTACTGTAGCTATCTAGTAAACTTGCTAGCTACTTCAGTGGATGTTGAACACAGTTATACCAGAAAATGAACACATTTCTAGCGGCAAATGTGTTAAATTATAGCCATGGTATAAAAGGGATAATCAACTCCGGGCTCTATCCATTCTCTGGAAAATAATGCAACTCCGTGAAAGGTCAGTTCCACTCCGCTAGTACGTTGTCGAACACACCTTCCACGTCGTTCGTTATTTTCCATAGAACGCATAGCCCCTCGTTGATTATCCCTTATATAGACCATCTGTTGGGGACTACCCTCTTAGAAAAAAAGGGTTCCAAAAGGGTTCATCGGCTGTCCCCATATGATAACCCTTTTTGGTTCCAGGTAGAACCCTATTGGGTTCTATGTAGGACCATCTGTGAAAAGGGAACCAAAAAGGGTTCTCCAAAGGGTTCTACTATGGGGACAGTCGCATAACCCTTTTAGGTTCTAGATTGCACCTTTTTTTCTAAGTGTGTATCCAAATACGTTTTTTTTTCTACATTTCAGGTCCACTCTCTACTGATGAACGCCAAAGGCTCAGTGAAATTGACTATCTGCACAGACGAGTCATCGCCCCTTCTCCCCAACTGTACTGGTCAGGCCACCAGCCTACCCAGAATCCCTAGCATCTCCATGGCTACCCTGGGACAGCCTGAGTCAGAGCCAATCCGGAGTGAGTAAACCGCTTGTCATTTGTTGTCAGGAAGAAATGCGATAGATCATTAGCATTTGGGTTTATTAAGCATAAACAACCTAACAGGATGTTTTACATAACTTAAATATTGGAGCTAGTTATAGTACAAAATCTGAAAGAAGTATGATCCACTCAGTTAGTTATAGCAGAGTGATATGCTTATCGGGCAATCACTTGGTATATAAATTTTTACATCAGCAGTTGTCACAAAGTGCTTATACAGAAACCCAGCCAAAACTCCAAAGAGCAATATAACCTAAATATACCTTATACAGTCAATTTGATATTTCAGTTTTTTTGTGGGGGAATAAGACTGTAACGTAACAAAATGTGAAAAAAGTGAAGGGGTCTGAATGCACTGTATGCCTTGTATACCTTGTCTACAGTGTCTGAAGATATTCTAGTCTGATTTTAGCCTGGCATCAAATGGATATGTGCTTTAGCCAATATTTTTGTCATTGGGGTATATTGAATGGCATGCCAATAATAATCAGAGTTGGCTAAAAGCACACACAGATCTGGGACCAGGCTAGAAGGAATATATTTATTTGATCCTTTCATCTCAATTTCCCACTCTCTCTCATCAGGCTCTAGTCGCTCGTCCACCCCTGGCACTCTGGCCTCCTCTGACCCTGTGACCTGTCCCATCATCCCCGGCTGTGAAACCACCATAGACATCTCCAAGGGCCACACAGGCCTGGGCCTCAGCATCGTGGGGGGCTGTGATACTCTACTGGTAGGCCAAAGACCACGCCAAGGAACTTTTCATCAAAGCAGCTCTGTGATGACTGTGGATATGACTGTGGGCTTTTGAAGTGTCCCCTCGTGTTATAGAATAATATCAGAACTTATATTTTGGAATAATATATGAACATAAAGGTTGTTGGATCCCAATTAACAGATTGCAAATTGACAGATACTGACAACGAATCTGGGTTCGTTTTACATAGTTTTACATATGTACATAGTTTTATCTGTAGTTTTAACAATACATAAGAAACAATTGGTCCCAAGTTCAACCACTAACATTAGGAGAAGAACCACTACTTACATAATGACACAAAGTTGAAAGATATGCCACCCACCCTCTTTTGTTCCTGTGCTTTTAGAGCTGGTAGTAGTATCCCAGGTCTGAAATAGCTGTGGAGGCAGTGGAATGGCAAATAAATATAGGAAGTGATGCAGTCTGTCACACACACACACACACACACACACACACACACACACACACACACACACACACCGCTCCTCCTCTCTCCCCTCCATTCTGTTTGCTCAGCCAGGCCTGAGGAATAGCCATTTGTCTAGCCTCAGCCACAGGAGACAATATCCAGGCCTGGAATGTGACCGTTGACCTGAGAATGACCCCCCCCCCATCCCCCAAACCCCCCCACCCCCTTCCTCCTCCACCCTCCCCCATAGACACCCACACACAAAGACTCCATCTAGTATCAACCTGTTCCACTCTGCCTCACATGTATTCCTGAACTCCTTCATCTTGTCATTGTATGATCTTCATTTCTCTCTCTCTCTCTATCTGACTACTCTCAATGTAATCTTCGTTCATCCCTCCTCCCTCTATCTTGTGGTCCTCTGTAGCTCAATGGGTAGAGCACGGCGCTTGTAATGCCAGGGTAGTGGGTTCGATCCCCGGGGCCACCCATACGTAAAAATGTATGCGCACATGACTGTAAGTCGCTTTGGATAAAAGCGTCTGCTAAATGGCATATTATATTCTATTTCTCCTTCCCTCCTACCACACACCTCTCCAATTTCCTCACTTGTTTTTTCTCCTCTCTCTCTCCTCTCTTCTTTTCTTTCTCTTTCTCTAGGGGACCATCATCATTCACGAGGTCTATGAGGAGGGAGCTGCCTCCAAGGATGGGAGACTTTGGGCTGGGGACCAGATCCTGGAGGTATTGGAATGTGTTCATCATTTAGGATCAGATCCCCCCCATCTGTGTAATCTCATTGTTATATAAAAGGCAAAACTGATCCTAGATCAGCACTCCCTCCTACTCTGAGACTATTTATGAATACGTGGCCAGGCCCATACACCTTCAGCAATCCCGTATGATGGACAATATCAGATAGGAGAACCCAATCCTAACTTGAGATATGGGCACGTATTTCACACTCTGGTATAATATTGCATTGCAATACCTAAGTGAATCTTAAGAATCTAAGGATTTGGTTCGTAGTCTAAAGAAGAACTTTGCAATTTCACTTGAATCATATATTACATCTAAAATTATATTGCCTATGTATTGTATAAACAGTCAGCATGTATAGATGTCATGATATATAGAATGACATCTTAATAGCCAGCTTAACTCTCTGACAGCCACTCCTTTGCCCTTTGCTTTGTTATGGAGGCACTCTAGGGGTGTGACCGGGGCAGTTAGTCATGGTAGCTCAGTCAATGGGTCTGGAAGCACCTCACTAACCCCTTTTCAACACACGCACACACCCTTATGACTTAATTGCCCCCCACCCCCACCCTCAGTATTTCACTTTGGGCCCGAGCCAAGCCGTAGTATTCATACTGCTCATGATAGGGTCAGGGGGAGAGTGAGAGAGTGGCCACCCATTCTGTGGTTCAAGCAGAACCAATGTCATTAGTGACCCATTTCAGTCTGCTATGGGAAAAGCCATGCAATGCTAATGGGCTATTTCCGCTTGATATGGACCCTTAGAATAGGTTGCGGTTCTCAGCTCTAAGCTAAGTACATTTTGGTGTTATTACCAGACAAGGTTTTGAAAATGTATAGACCTACCCTCATGCTAGCTGTTGACTGTGTATGTTACATTATTCACATCCTTAACCAATATTCATGTTTGTCAATGTGTTTGAGCCTACAGTGTTTATATACATAGGAACAATATCAAATGCTAGAGATTGTACTCTTGCTGCCGCGTTTTTATATTGACAAATCTGTTTGTTTTTCACTCTCTCTCTCTCACTCACTCTCAATCTCACACACACACACACACACACACAAATTCCAATTCCAGGGACGTGCGACTGTCACGTCTCCTCCCGTTGCTCCCCTCCGGCGCTCTGATTCGCCGGTCTACTGAGCCACCGGTCTGAGCGCACCACCTCGGCAACACCGGAATGGAAACACAACACACCCTAATCACCTCCAGCGCACCTGCACCATTATCTCATCACCACACCTATATAGCCCTGGCCTGTTCAGTGTTGTGTTGTGTGTGATTGTTAGTGTCATGTCGTGTACTCGCTCTTTGTTGTGCTCTTGCTCAGTGTTAAGTAAACCTTTACATTGTTGATTCCTGCGTCTGCGTCCTGCCTCTTCGTATCCTCAGTACTCATCACAGAATCACACACCTCACGAAGATGGATGCAGCAGGTAATCCTCCTGGAGTTTCCCAGCACGTGGACCAGCACCAGCAGCAGATTGCCCAGCTGAATGCCTCCATACAGGAAGTGCTCCAAACGCTGCATAAACTGACCATCGCTCCGGTTCCAGCTCAGGGAGCGGCGAGTGCACCTAGTCCACCTCCTCCTGTGCTATCACCAACGTCTGAGGGACCCCTCGCCCTGCCGGAGCGCTATGACGGGAAAACGATGAAATGTAGAGGCTTCCTGCTACAGGTTTCACTGTATCTGGCGCGTCAACTTGGGGCATCTCCATCGGACCAAGCCAGGATAGCGCTGGTGATTTCGCTACTGAAGGGAAAGACCCTGGATTGGGCCACGGCAGTCTGGGAAGGAGGTGAGGCCACAGCACTTCCCTACTCCACCTTCCTCGATCGGTTCAGGGCGGTGTTCGATCATCCCACGGAGGGAAAGGACGGGGGTGAGCATCTCCTCCGGCTATACCAGGGAGAGGAGGCCGCGTTCGAGTACGCCCTGAGCTTTTGCACGGTGGCGGCGTCTTCCGGCTGGAATGGGCGTGCTCTGCGCACTGCCTTCAGGAGAGGCTTACGGGAGGACATCACGAAGGAACTCGCATGTCGTGACGACGAGATGGACCTTGATACTCTCATCGCCATGTCCATTCGTCTCGACGACATGTTGAGAGACCGAAGGCGTTCCCAACACCACCCGAAGCCTCAACGCTCACCCCATCTGAGCTATGGAAGCCGCCCTGCCTCCGAGTCCTCACCCATGGAGGTGGGCAGCACCCCCTACATCACCACAGACCACAGATCTCCTGGCTGCTCCCTATCTAGGCGGTATGACTCCAGTCGCCGCTCCGTGAGTGTTCCGTCATCACCTGTCACTAAACCATTGTTTTTAGTTCCCCTACGGGGAATTGTTCTTCCTTCTCTTCGCTTTCCACGGCAATGATAGATTCCGGATCAGAGGGGAACCTTATCGATAGAGAGCTGGTCTCTGAATGGGGGTTGCCCACCATGCCACTGCCTTCTCCGTTACACGTCACCTCGCTGGACAATAAACCACTTGGATCAGGCACCATTACGCACGTCACTCTCCCCATCACCATCACCATTCCCACACTACCGGTGCACCATGAGGAGCTGTCCTTCCACATCGTCACGTCACCCCTTCACCAGATCGTCTTGGGATTGCCCTGGCTCAGACTACACAACCCCACCATCAATTGGATCACCAAGAGAATCACAGCCTGGTCCCCCTCATGCCGGAGGACCTGCCTGCTGGTGGTTTGTTGTTCCACGTCAGTGGAGAGTCCGGAGTCCGCCCTCCATCCAGCCCAACATTCCACGTGAGTACGCAGATGTCTCCGATGTCTTCTCTGCCTCCAAGGCTAAGTGTCTCCCTCCTCACAGGCCCTGGGACTGTGCCATTGACCTGTTGGAGGGACAACACTCCCCTACGAGTCGCATTTACTCCCTTTCCATAGCGGAGACTGAGGCCATGGAGAAGTATTTGGCGGAGACCCTGAAACAGGGGTTCATCAGACGCTCTACCTCTCCTGTCTGCGCCAGCTTCTTCGTGGCCAAAAAAGACGGAGGACTGAGGCTGTGCATTGACTACCGGGGGCTGAATGCAGTCCCCACCAAGTACCGGTACCCCCTCCCTCTGGTTCCGTCGGCCATCGAGCAGCTGCGAGGGGCCCGGTACTTTACCAAGTTGGACCTGAGGAGTGCCTACAAGCTGATCCGAATCCGGGAAGGAGACGAGTGGAAGACGGCATTCAGCACTACCTCAGGCCACTATGAATACTGCGTCATGCCCTACAGCCTTGCCAACACACCTTCCGTGTTCCAGTCCTTCGTCAATGATGTGTTATGATATGCGAATTCCACCAACAGGCCATCTCCTTCCTGGGATACAAGATCAGTCCTCATGGGGTGTTCATGGTAAGAGCGAAGACAGATGCTGTCAGGTCATGGCCAGTCCCCACCACCATCAAGGGCCTACAGAGTTTCCTGGGCTTCGCAAATTTCTACCAGCGTTTCATCAGGTCCTTCAGCTCAATAGCCGCCCTGCTCACCTCTCTCCTTAAGGGTGGGCCTCAGAAGCTGGCCTGGAACCCTGAGGCTGACGCTGCCTTCAAGAGGCTGAAGGAGAGGTTCACCACAGCGCCCCTCCTAAAACACCCAGAACGAGCTCGTCCTTTCATCCTGGAGATGGACGCATCTGAGGAGGGCGTGGGTGGTGTCCTCTCCCAGCGGCAAGGTAAGCCAGAGAAAATGTATCCCTGTGCCTTTTTTCTCGAAAAAGCTTACCCCCGCAGAGAGGAACGATGGAGTTGGAGACCGGGAGCTGTTGGCGGTGGTCCTCGCTCTGGAGGAATGGAGACACTGGCTGGAGGGCGCAGTCCATCCATTCCGGATTCTCACTGACCACCGGAATTTGGAGCACATACGGGCAGCGACACGGATGAACTCTCGTCAAGCCAGGTGGGCCCAATTTCTTACTCTATTTTAGTTTATTCTGTTCTACCACCCAGGATCCCAGAATGTGAAGGCCGACGCACTCTCCAGGATGCATCATACCGGAGAAAGGAAGGAACTGGGGGGTCCTGTCCTGCCTCCGTCTCTCATTGTGGCACCTGTCGCTTGGGATGTGGACGAAGACATCCGCCTGGGGCTCAGGAGGACCCAGCGCCTGCCAACGCCCCTCCGGGGCTCGTGTATGTACCCACCAGGGTCCGGGACCGCCTGCTGATCTGGGCACACACCACCTTTACGGCAGGGCACTCCGGTATGATGCACACCCTACATTCTCTCTCACAGAAATACTGGTGGCCCACCTTGGCTACTGATGTCTCCCACTATATCAACTCCTGTTCCGTATGTGCCCAAACGAAGACACCTCGGAACGCCCCGGCAGGCAAACTAGTTCCTCTCCCAGTGCCTCAGCGACCTTGGTCACACCTGTCCATAGACTTTGTCACCGACCTCCCACATTCTGACGGCTTCACCACAGTCCTGGTGGTCGTAGATCGGTTCTCCAAATCATGCCGTCTTTTGCCACTAACGGGTCTTCCTTCTGCTCTCCAGGTTGCTGAGGTCCTGTGCCAACAGGTCTTCCGGCATTCGGGACCTTTGTCACCGCCCTGACCGGCCCGCTCCTCATCCTCGGGGTCGTCCGGGGGAGCCGCGCGTCCATGGGAGGGTACTGTCACGTCTCCTCCCGTTGCTCCCCTCCGGCACTCTGATTCGCCGGTCTACTGAGCCACCGGTCTGAGCGCACCACCTCGGCAACACCGGAATGGAAACCCAACGCACCCTAATCACCTCCAGCGCACCTGCACCTCATCATCTCATCACCACCCCTATATAGCCCTGGACTGTTCAGTGTTGTGTTGTGTGTGATTGTTAGTGTCATGTCGTGTACTCGCTCTTTGTTGTTCTCTTGCTCAATGTTAAGTAAACCTTTACATTGTTGATTCCTACCTCTTCGTAGCCTCAGTACTCGTCACAGTGACCAAAATACAAACGGCATGCATTGGCCAAATGCAGATGAGCATGCAAATGTAGGGGCATTATGTGATCGTGCTGTGAAAAAAATAAAGCACTTGGAAAGGACACAGCGTGCTGTTTAGATCTTCTGTCTGTGTCCTGTTTATTGAATGATGTGCTCCATTTCAGTCCCAGATGTGCCAAGCTTATAAAAAATGTATATGAGAGAGAGCTGTTACTCAAAGTTAAATGTATCAAATGCCTGTGGGGACACACTCCCCTTTTGCCTGTTAAATGTTGGTTCCCTTGTGGGAACATGAAGATTGTTAATTCATTCATTAATCTATCGATTTTTGAATTTTAGAGATTCTTCATTAATTATTAATAATTCATCCATTTATGTGGGTATCAATATAACTAGAATAATGTATTCTTACTCTTTCATCTCTCTTCCTCCTCCCTATACCCTATCTCCTCCCTCCTTCCCTCTCTCCTTCCTCCTTCCCTCTATCCGCAGGTGAATGGCATTGACCTGCGCGTGGCCACTCATGACGAAGCTATCAACGTGCTGCGCCAGACCCCTCAGCTGGTACGTCTGAGCGTGTACAGGGACGAGGCTCAGTACAAGGAGGAGGACCTGTGGGATGCCTTCACCGTGGAGTTGAACAAGAAGCCTGGCCAGGGCCTTGGCCTCAGCATTGTGGGGAGAAGGTAATAGAACTTATAAACATTTATGGGATTTCCTAAAATGGACACCGTAAAAAATGGCTGTCCTAAAATGGATGTCTGTAAGGATGTTGGAGAGAAGCTTTCTTTCACTAGGATGGAGGGTCCCTCAAGTATTTAGGATTAAATACATTACAGCATCCCATCAGAGATTTACTAAGCCCCTACTAGACTCAGTAGAGCAGTGGATAGTGTGTGTGTAGGCCACAGGTTGTTAAGCAGCAGGGTTCAAGGTGTGTGACCTTTCCTAACTCAGTGATTGACTTCGGTCAGTGAATTGACTAGTTGCTAGAAAACCATATTAGGCATTTCAAGATTTAAATGTGTTCTTCATTCAACATAGGAAACGAAAAAGGAAACATTCTACAACCGGTACCGAATTGAAGAGTCATAACTGGAACGGGTATCGGAACAGAACAAATTTCCAAAGATACCCAGCCCTTGCCCTAGTAGATAGACAAGCCCCACATACACCAATCTAGATACCCTGGCTTTTTACCTGGGTCTGCCTTCAGTGTATTTGGGTCATTCTACCCTGCTTTGGAACCTGCTTTACCTTAACCTATAGATCCTGAACCGCCATGCCTCTTACTGGGGTAAAACAAAATGGACATCAACGAACCACAGCAGGAGGCGTGCATGTGATTTACATTTGTACCTGATTGATTGATAGATACCTGATTTTCCTCAGAGAGGACAATTATTTCCACAGCCTATTAGTTAAATACAACATTTTGTAACGACACAAAAAAGTATTACACTTAAAAGTTACATCATTTGATTTGATCTTGAATCTATCTAACCCTAACTACAACATTCTCACACACAAATGACAGACACATGCACAGAGACACCAAGCACTCACACTAACACAACACAACATAAACCCTGGTTCACTCATACGATGACGTTTCTATCCCCAACAGGAACGACACAGGGGTGTTTGTGTCGGACATAGTAGAAGGGGGCGTGGTGGACAGTGACGGGAGGCTGATGCAGGGAGACCAGATCCTGTCCGTCGACAAGGAAGACGTCAGAAACGCCACACAGGAGTTAGTGGCCGAGCTGCTGAAGGTGAGCCTATAAAGGAACCGCGGGAAGTTCCATCTGGGTCAAATAAAGCCTGGTCTCAGATCTGTTTTTGCCGTCTTGCTAGATACATATACATGATACATGACCACAGGCTTTGGCTATTCATCACTAACAGATCTGGGACCAGGCTGTGTTCAATGTTTTTGTTGTCTCAAATTAAGTTACAAATTGTTGATAATTTATGTATTGGGGAATTTGTTGGATTGTGTTGTATTGGCTCTTTTCCCAACGGTTGGTGTAGAATACAACACTAGCATCTGTTCCTTTTGATAGTTTGTTTAGTTGAAAAACAATTTTATGTGTTTGTATGTTTACATGTTGTGTTTGTATGTTTACATGTTTACATGTTTGTGTTTGCAGTGCGGTGTGGGACCCATAGTGATGGAGGTGGGCAGATTTAAAGCCGGGCCCTTCCACTCTGAGAGGAGGTTCTCACAGAGCAGTCAGGTAAGCTGCCATTTTCTGGACCTTAATTATATGCTGGGGACTGTTTAGGAGGGCAACATTACAGCATGTTCAGACAGAAATGCATCTAACAGATATGACCCACTTATGCCATTCATATTAAGTTTCCCTTCCCTTGTGTTTGGGTAGATGAGTGAAACAGACAGCTGCAAGGTGACCCCTCTCTCTCTGTCAGCCTCCTCTGGAAGCCTCAAAGTGGACTGTGACAGCTTACAACACACAAATCAGGAGTGTAAGACATTTTCAGTTGATAAACATGTTGTGGATTGAAAAACTAAAGCTGGCTTGATTCATTTGGCTTGATTCATTTGGGCTGTTTACCGTTGTTGTTTACACAGCACTGGACCACCAGCAGATCAGAAGTGTTGAATTCACAAAGGTCAGTGTTCTTTTATAAAATGTATAATTATTCTGAAAAACAAAACAATTTTTAGCATGACCTTGTATTAAGATAAATGCAACATACAGATTGTACTGGTTTTTCACTACTACTATTTCTATATGTGTTTTATGTGGGGTAACTTACTACAACTTGTGGTTGTAGTGATTTTGGAGTACTTTGTGTAATTGGTTGCCTTTCCTCATAGGGCCCCACTGACTCATTGGGCATCAGTATTGCGGGTGGAGTGGGCAGTCCCCTGGGTGATGTGCCCATCTTCATCGCCATGATGAACCCTACTAGCCTCGCTGTCCAGACACACAAACTCAAGGTGGGTTGGTACAGCAGCGGCTGTAGGGTCCTGTTAAACAGAATATGGGTTATGTAGGCTATGTTGTTGGTTGAGTTCAAGGACCCTCATAGAAAGTCAGACTCTGCAGATCACATGGAATCTGCTCACTAAATGTTTACCCGAAAGAGAGATTTGTTTTGAGATGCAATTTAACAGTCAGGAGCTTCAACATGTCGACATGTCGGTCATACAAATTCTCCAAAGCCACAAATGCAAGCACAAACATCTGTATTAAGTCAACTTCTAGAATATTTCCAACTAAGTGTATCACCCCTTCACTTGTGTCTGGTTCATTTGGGGCTGTAGGCTATTCAGATTTGAGATTCGTGTGTGTAACTCAGACTTTTTACGTAAATCGTTCAGTGACGTCAATGTGGGATTTGCGTGAAAATTGTATCTCAAGTCTAAATACTCCCCTTAGTCAGTTTCAAGTCATCACGTTGGTTGGGACTATTAGGCTTGAGGGCCTTTACAGCTGAAAGCGATGGCGGATGGCCTCCTGCAGAAGGACAGACAAACTAACCATTGTAGCCCCCACAGACAGACTGGCAGCAGACAATAGTAGAGCAGCAAGCCATCTAGGAATATATATATATAACTCTACTGCACTGAGCCCATAAAATGTAACAGAACAGAGGGCCTGTGTGGATGTCTTGAATATAATATCTATGTTGGTATCCCTTCAAAAGCCCACTCAGACCATTCCCAGACAGTCCTAGCAAAATTCTTGCTTGAGAAATTGCCCTTTGCTAAGAAGCTATTTTTGTTTCTTTTTTACACTTTAATGGAAAACAATCACATTTGTATCCCTTCAGGGTGAAATAAAACAGGCAAAACACAAAGCAGTGGTTTAGATATACACTGCTCAAAAAAATAAAGGGAACACTTAAACAACACAATGTAACTCCAAGTCAATCACACTTCTGTGAAATCAAACTGTCCACTTAGGAAGCAACACTGATTGACAATACATTTCACATGCTGTTGTGCAAATGGAATAGACAACAGGTGGAAATTATAGGCAATTAGCAAGACACCCCCAATAAAGGACTGGTTTTGCAGGTGGTGACCACAGACCACTTCTCAGTTCCTATGCTTCCTGGCTGATGTTTTGGTCACTTTTGAATGCTGGTGGCGCTTTCACTCTAGTGGTAGCATGAGACGGAGTCTACAACCCACACAAGTGGCTCAGGTAGTGCAGCTCATCCAGGATGGCACATCAATGCGAGCTGTGGCAAGAAGGTTTGCTGTGTCTGTCAGCGTAGTGTCCAGAGCATGGAGGCGCTACCAGGAGACAGCAGCAGGACTGCTACCTCCGCCTTTGTGCAAGGAGGAGCAGGAGGATAACTGCCAGAGCCCTGCAAAATGACCTCCAGCAGGCCACAAATGTGCATGTGTCTGCTCAAACGGTCAGAAACAGACTCCATGAGGGTGGTATGAGGGCCCGACGTCCACAGGTGGGGGTTGTGGTTACAGCCCAACACCGTGCAGGACGTTTGGCATTTGCCAGAGAACACCAAGATTGGCAAATTCGCCACTGGCGCCCTGTGCTCTTCACAGATGAAAGCAGGTTCACACTGAGCACATGTGACAGACGTGACAGAGTCTGGAGACGCCGTGGAGAACGTTCTGCTGCCTGCAACATCCTCCAGCATGACCAGTTTGGCGGTGGGTCAGTCATGGTGTGGGGTGGCATTTCTTTGGGGGGCCGCACAGCCCTCCATGTGCTCGCCAGAGGTAGCCTGACTGCCATTAGGTACCGAGATGAGATCCTCAGACCCCTTGTGAGACCATATGCTGGTGCGGTTGGCCCTGGGTTCCTCCTAATGCAAGACAATGCTAGACCTCATGTGGCTGGAGTGTGTCAGCAGTTCCTGCAAGAGGAAGGCATTGATGCTATGGACTGGCCCGCCCGTTCCCCAGACCTGAATCCAATTGAGCACATCTGGGACATCATGTCTCGCTCCATCCACCAATGCCACGTTGCACCACAAACTGTCCAGGAGTTGGCGGATGCTTTAGTCCAGGTCTGGGAGGAGATCCCTCAGGAGACCATCTGCCACCTCATCAGGAGCATGCCCAGGCGTTGTAGGGAGGTCATACAGGCACGTGGAGGCCACACACACTACTGAGCCTCATTTTGACTTGTTTTAAGGACATTACATCAAAGTCGGATCAGCCTGTAGTGTGGTTTTCCACTTAAATTTTGAGGGTGACTCCAAATCCAGACCTCCATGGGTTGATAAATTTGATTTCCATTGATAATATTTGTGTGATTTTGTTGTCAGCACATTCAACTATGTAAAGAAAAAAGTATTTAATAAGATTATTTCATTCATTATTTTTTATTTTTTTTTACATTTGAGTCATTTAGCAGACGCTCTTATCCAGAGCGACTTACATTATCTTTTTACTTTTCATACTGGCCCCCTGTGGGAATCGAACCCACAACCCTGGCGTTGCAAACGCCATGCTCTACATCCCTGCCGGCCATTCCCTCCCCTACCCTGGACGACGCTGGGCCAATTGTGCGCCGCCCCATGAGTCTCCCGGTCGTGGCCGGCTACGACAGAGCCTGGATGTGTTATTTTAGTGTTCCCTTTATTTTTTGAGCAGTGTATATGGTTTGCTTGCATTAGATATGACCTAAATGAATGTTTTCAGTTGTTATCTTATTGTATCATTACTAAGTCTGTATTAATTTCATTACCAGAATCTATTGCTTTATGATGCCTGGCGAAAGTCGGCTGATTAGGGGTAATTAATCTCTATTCTCAATCAGCACAGACCACTATCTCCTTTCCGCTAACCCCTTCCAACAAGTGGCATACAATACAATGCCTGTCTTAGTTTTACGCCTACAAGGGCCTAGGAGGTAGGGGTTAGGGATCGATTTAGTATTAGATGGATCGCTATGCTTCTGTCTCTAACCCAAACGTACCGGTATTCCAAACATTGTGTCCAAGGGACCGTGACCTTGTTACTTTTCTATTGTTTCTCTATTTTCTTTCTCTCTACATTGTTGGGAAGGGTCCGTAAGTAAATATTTCACTGTTAGTCCACACCAGTTGTTTGCGAAGCATGTGACTAATATAATGTGATTTGATTTGAACCTTGTGACCTCTTTGTGACCTCCAGATCGGTGACAGGATTGTCAGTATCTGTGGGACAGCTACTGAGGGTATGAGCCACAGCCAGGCCGTCACCCTGCTGAAGAACGCCACCGGCACCATCGAGCTGCAGGTCAGTGAAATACTTATTGTTCAGTCATTCTCCCAACTACAGTAAGATTATACTGGTCTTTTAGCAACAACTCGTATCTGAATATGTCCACTTCATCAATGATAACTGTGTATTATCTGTAGCTTGTCTGTCTATTTGATGTGGTTGCTGTCATCTATGTCATGTTGTCTTTTTCTCAGTGTGAGACAAATTCCTGTAAAAGGCCAATAACTGAGCTGATGAACTGAATGATTAAAGACCTAAATGACCTTTTCATGTATCACTTGTCTTGCAACCATAAAACCCAACAGGTGGTAGCAGGGGGTGATACCACAGTGACCGGCCCCTCTCAGGAGCAGACAGCTGCCGGACTCTCAGTCTCAGGCCTTACTGCTACTAGCATCTTCCACGACGACCTGGGGTACGCACACACACACACACACACACACACACCACACACACACACACGCACACATGCACACACACACACCTGTCGTTCCTGTGAAACCCGTACAAAGCTTGATAAACATCAACAGAAGATATCTAGCAGAGGAAGCTGGTGGGAGGAGCTATAGGAGGACGGGCTCATTGTAATGGTTGGAATGGAATCAATGGAACCGAGTCAAACATGGTTTTCGTATGTTTAATGTGTTTGATACCGTTCCATTGATTCCATTCCAGCCATTACAATGAGCCCTCCCTCCTATAGCTCCTCCCATCAGCCTCCTCTGATATCTAGATATCTAATGACAACATTTCTCTACGTCCTACAGACCTCCTCAATATAAGACCATTACACTGGAAAGAGGCCCAGACGGACTGGGCTTCAGCATTGTTGGTGGCTTTGGAAGCCCACACGGAGACCTGCCCATTTATGTGAAAACCGTGTTCGGAAAGGTTGGGGAAATCTCCTCTTTTTGCTAAACTGACTTTATAATTAACTAATCCAGGTCAGTATTCTGACCTGAGATCTGCAGGGGATTTGCTTGTGCATATCTGACATTAGAATACCTCCCATTAAAACAACTTCATAATGCTAGATTTGTATATTTACGTCATTTAGCAGACGCTCTTATCCAGAGCGACTTACAGGAGCAATTAGGGTTAAGTGCCTTGCTCAAGGGCACATCGACAGATTTTTCACCTAGTCGGCTCGGGGATTCGAACAAGCGACCTTTTGGTTACTGGCACTACTCTCTTAACCACTAAGATACCTGCCGCCCCTATTTCTTGCAAGCTCATTTGAACATTCTTGAAACGTACATTGATTTGAAGATTGATGAAATCTATTCCTTTAGAATTGATAGTTAAAACAGTTGTAACTGAAAGTGTGGTAACCTGGCGTGTGGGTGTGTGTTCTCCAGGGAGCAGCGTCAGAGGACGGGCGTCTGAAGCGGGGGGATCAGATTATGGCTGTTAATGAACAGAGTCTGGAGGGGGTCACCCACGAGGATGCCGTGGGCATCCTGAAGAGGACCAAAGGAACAATCACCCTCACTGTGCTCTCCTAGATACGCGCGCGCACACACACACACACACACACACACACACCTTACTCTACACTCATAGACAAAGAATCATACCTTGAGGCAGACACACATACACACCTAAAATAAGATATACTGTACAAGAAATGTGAACACACACTACCATATGTTCTTAACCGCTAAGCTTGTTTTGTAGCAAGAAACACTGTGTACCATATTATTTGAAGCTACTGCAGGTAGACTGAAGTATTCACAGGACACTGTGGCTCCGATCATTTATACTCTAGTTTTCTATGCTCAGACATGGACTGTAGTGTTGTGATATTTAGGGTTAAAAGCCCTTGGAAATTCTTCTATAGAATGAGGGACATTATTTAAGGCTTATGCTACTGTAAACTGCTGTCTGTCCACTTCTGTATTGAAGTCACTGAGACAATGAGCAAGTCTACATCTAGACTCTTTCAATAACATTTGAATAATGTTTTGAGTCATGTTTTATCTGTGATGCAAAGCACCTTTTCAGAAGGGACATGGTCTGAAATATTTGGTTTCTTGGTCAGACGTTATACAGACCAAGTCTGTGAGTGTTTGTACATGGTCACACTCAGGGAAAGGAGAGTGTGTATGAGACATTCACTGAAAGGTAGTGCTGCTAATGCACATGATGATGTAAAGCATTGTTTTACAGTATTTTAACGTTCAAGTATTAATCTGTTGTTTCTGTCTTGACCGTACTTTGTCATAATATGATAGTAGGTGAAACCAGCTAACTTCTATGGTCTATCTCAGCGGTCTCCAACCCTGGTCCTGGAGAGCTACTGGGTATACTTCTTTTTTTCCCACCTAGCAATAGCACAGCTGTTTCACATAGTCAACCATTGACAGTCTTCAAAATGGACCACAATTAGCCGAATCAAGTGTGTTAGTGATGGGCTGGAACAATAGCCTGTACACCCGGTCAGTCTCTTGGGTAGGAGTTGGAGCTCCCTATCTATCTCGAACCATTAGCTGGATACCCTATGTTCTAGTTTCACAATAATGGATCCCCTATTCAACATGGTGTCAGTCACACACTTGTCACCGTATATGTGTACTTAGTACTTTCAGCATAGCATTGAGTTGTTCACAGGCTGAATTAATAAAAGTGACCTTCAAACCCCAGTTATTGATTGGTTTCATGTGTTCTATTTGGGTAAAGTCACAGAGTCCATAGGCTTTTCAGTAGTGTGGCTAACTGGTTTCTTAACAGTTGATGGGAATTCTATTGAGATTTGGTAACGAGCCAGTTGGTGGTTATTATTGGAGGCCCATGGCATCACACAAGACCCTCACATCTGACTAATATATCATCTGGATTCATGTTTTTTTAAATCTTTTTTTATGTGTGTAGCAACTGTGGCTTTTGCATCTGATATATTACTAGGGAATTTTTTTCTCTAAAACCACACATCTAAGCAGAATTGTAAAGTACATAATAACGGATACTTTCTTAGATAGCTAAAGGATAGTAATTTCCCACTGCGCACAGACGTCAGTTCAATGTCTAGTTTTGATTTACATTTGGTTGAGTTGTCAACTAATGTGAATCCAACGTGAAATCAACAAAAAATGTCACCATGTCATTGGATTTAGGTTAAAAGCTGCGTGAAAAAAATAGGAAATTCCCTTACGTTAACCTTTTTTCGATTTCAAATCCGTTTTCCAACGTAATCACATTGAATTCTGTTGTTTAATTTTACGTGGAAACAACATTGATTCAACCAGTTTTTGCCCAGTGGGTCGATACATCATAATACAGAAAGTAGAGTCTTGTCTTAAGTTACTTCATCCTGGGCCGTGTTCATTAGGCTCCAAAGAAGAAGGAGATTGAGCTATCCTATAAGAAACACTAATGTTTATTTTCTGTTACAAAACGTTTTAAAGTTTTTGGGTGTGTGCTCTGATGAACAAACCTTGGCTATTCTATGAAGCTTGTTGAGAGGGAGAGTAGAGAATGGGGGATCTCCAACTGGGCACAGACATCAATTCAATGTCTATTCCATGTTGCTTCAATGTCATTTCATTGAAATAACGTGGGAACAACGTTGATTCAACCAGTGTTTTATCAGTGGACTGTTAGATTGACTAGATTTACCATGAAGACAGCTGTTTTACAGCATAGCACGTGGTCCGTGTGAAGGCCTCCTACACATGAAATCCTTTTCTTAAGCTGGTTTACAGAAAAAAGAAGTGTCCAATTACCAAGGGAAGTCAAGCGGACCGGTTGAAAGGGTGAAACTTTGTAAGAGCTCTCTGGCTGGGCTTTTCTCTTCATTGTGTTGGAGAGTCAAAAAGTATGACTTGTTACAGTAACTAGAGCTATGGGATGTCTGCGTGCGTGCGTGCACGTATGTGTGGTCATGCTATTGCTAAGCTAAGGCGTTGTCAAGGGGTTACTGATTCACAGTTACATAGCCTCCTGTAGCTCAGTTGGTAGAGCATGGCGCTTGCAACGCCAAGGTTGTGGGTTTGATTCCCATGGGGGGCCAGTATGAAAAATGTATGCACTCGCTAACTGTAAGTCGCTCTGGATGAGAGCGTCTGCTAAATGACTAAAATGTACATGGGCGAATGGCCTCAACCCACTACCTCAAGTCAACCAGACCTATTTAATTTCCTACTAAACCAAGTGACATCTTGTTTCCTGTTTTCACAATTTAAGCCTAATCTAAACAAATACACGATTTAAGTGTGAAAACTTTCCTTTTTAGACATCCATCAATTCATGGACAATTTTGTTCTTCTAAATCTTAGAACCACAAACAAAGATAGCACCACAAAAAAGAACACATGCTGCCGTCAAATGCTGTCAGAAATTCAGAAATATGAGGTTCCGACTGGGAAATAACAACTTGTGACGTTTCATCACTGACCTTTCACCTTTTCAGCCAAAAGATAAAACAAAGTATTTTTTGACTGTCAAACTTTGACAATGTGGATAATGTAGCTAGTTTGACCAATTGTCAACATTAGCAGATTAGCTAACTTTAATATCCGCGACGTTAGCTAGCTCATATAGTTAGCTAAAATGTCATTATTTGAAGAATTGTCCTGACTTCAAAAGCACTTGAACACAATCATGTCATATTTACGACTTCAGAACTGCAAAATACGAGATTCCAAGGAACATTTAAATGCATCAACAATTTGCCTATACCACCACACCAACATGGCCAATAAATCACATTGCATTTACAGTACAATAGCTGTACAATGCTGTCAAAGGTATAAACATATAAATGTACTGCATGGATTGCCACATGATTAGGACCTTTCTTCACTGCATTACTAGCTAGGATTGTCGCTAACAGCTGCTAGCTCAGTGCCACAACTCAAGAACCCAACGCATGCTACAGACAGCCAAGCTATTCCAAACACCTGCTGCTTTCATTTCCTGTGGGGTTGTGGGTTGGTTACCTAAACACTCCAAACTCAAGAGACATGGGATGGCTGACTAGAGAAAAGGCTTGTCTGGGCTAGTTCCTTAGATGTGAGATCAGATGTGGTGACCAGGTCACGCTTAGCTGAGCAAGGCATATTTCAGTGGCCAACTGTAGCAAGCGAGGTTAATGTTGTGTCAGGCGTTTTCAGACCTCAGATGTTGAGAGGAGTCCATGCCCCTGTGCCTGTGTCTTTTGTGTAGATCCAGTTTCATCAAGAAATAAATAGGAAGAACAGGCACCAACTAAAATGATCAAATTAAAATGGACTTATCTCGACATGACACCACTTATGAGTCCAGCAAAGTCAGACAAAGTTCAAATTTGGAATGAACTATCACAAGTCATAAGGGCACAGTAGGGTCCAAAATATGAATACGATACTTTTTGACAACGGTATTCACTTCCACGTATTCCCCAACAAACAATCGTCATCCCCTGACTAATGCTTCAACCCCTGGGCTTTAGTCTATGGTTGTGAAGCCAGTAACTGTCAGTTGTTCAAACACCAACTACAGTATCACATCGTGGTGTGACTACGCGTTGGACGTTGAGAGGTTAAGCAAACAGAAACCAGTAGTGACAGCCACCGAGCATGCCATGATGACTCAGCTAACATGCCAAGGTAGGGTACGTTACACAACCCTCCTCAATGCCACTTAATGAGGATTTCCTGACATAGCTGGAATACCCGAGGGCGTGTAGTGGTATGGTGGAATGGATTAGAATATAGAGCACAGAGAACTGTACTTTCCCTGTCTTCAGTTTGGTTATGGAACACAATGATCTCTACAGCTGAAGGACGCCTTCATATAAGGATGTCAGAAGCAGTATATAAGCAGAACAAATCAGTTGGACGGGCATTTGATTTCCATAAAGGGGCACGTTTTTTTTCACGGGACCTCCAGTGTGCACTTGCTCGTGCACTAACTGTGATAATGTATCACCTTTTAACGTGGCATAAACACTAACAGTCATGATGTTTTCATCTGATTGTCAAACAAATAACTTCCAAAAGTAGGTTACCTTAATACCTTAAATAATACCTTAAATAATTTGGGATGTTGAAATAATTTCAGCATCCGAACAGTGCATTGAGTTGCTGAAACTATCTCACCGGAGAAAGTATCCGAGCGAAACAGCAAAACAGCGCCCCTCTGTCTTACTATATGTAGCCCATGTATCTGATGCTGTCGGGCCAAAAATAGTATGACATGCCATACTCTGTTTGTCCAGACAGCACCAGATACATGGGCTACACATACGGAGACAGAGGGGCGCTGTTTCGCTCGCTCGGAGGCTTTATGTGAGATTGATGCGTCTTTCTGTCAGCGCGCGTCTCGGTCAAATAAATTATTAATATTTAAAAGGTAGACTCTGCGAAATGACGTTGGAGCAGAACCGCAGATATTGAGATGAGCGAGATGCATGACTTCGCGCTCACACAGCCACAAAAGTATCTGCTCATGTGCACGGTTCACTTCACACTGTTACAGCGTGGTACCCATGGGACCAAAACAGCGGAGTTGAGCTTCACGTTTCAACGTTCTTAGTTGATGCGGAAATTGACCCG